AATAACGAACTTGAGCGTGCAAAAGGGTACGATAGGCTGTGAGTTCATTGTGCAAAAACAATTTGTGCTATTACTTTCCCCTTATTCTATCCTATAGTAATGCAATACTGTATATTATATAGGCTACTGTTGAATACATTTGGTTCAGCTAATAAATTGCATTTAAAATATATTGATTCCTGTAATAATAATTATTTATTCATGTGATATTTATAAATCTGGGTGCGTTTTTGGTTGGAAATCAATGAAACATGGTACTGTATTACCTGGTCTCCCCTGTTTATTGTCACAGCTCATACAATAAAGCAAACAAACACCCATGATAAACTATGCTTTTCTATCTAACGTTAGTAATTGCTGACTCTTTATTCCAACGCTGAGCGAAGCGAACTCTCTGCTCCTCGTCACGGTGCGTCTCAGGTGATTGTTATCACTCTGCCCAAGTAGCAGTGCTTCCCCTTCAGAAAATATAGTATTTATATGGTCAAAAGATGTCTGTGTCTCATATGGCCTTGATATTTGCACACTCTGTGACTATACAAACCACAACATGTAAATAGGAAAACGTTTGCGTTATTTTGTCACTCATTTGGATTAGTATGAAAGCTGCAACCATTCACATCCAGTCTTTGTGCTAAGCTAGGCTAGCGGTGGGTGCGTCAAACAGACTTATAGCACGCACGGAGATGAAAAAGGTATGTATGGACTTATCTAACTCTGGGGGGTAAGGTGAATAGGCTAAAGTCCCAAAAAGTCGGAGTGTTCCTTTAAGCCTTATTTCAATTTTGGTGTGAAAGGGCCTTTACATTTGCCAAAAAATATACATTTTTTGGTATAAAACTAAGTAACACAATTAGTTACTTTTTAGGGTAATAAATCAATATTGTAAGGCATTACATTTCAAAGTAACTTTCCCCAACACGCCACACAACTACCTTAAGGACCTTCTTCGATAGATATCAACATAAGGCATTGAATAAACCATGTCTGTCTACATGCTTCTCCAAAGCACACCTGATAATATTTAATAAAATCTGATCAACATATTCTTTCCCACACCAAACACACAAAACCCGTGACCTTTTTTTCCCAATGTCACAAAGCTTCTTCCTCTTCGGCACAACAAGAAAGAAACTTTCAGTACTGCTTTGAGAGACATGTGCATTCACTTTAGAGAAAACTACCTGTGTCTTGTTTCTCACAGAGGCAAGATATTTTACACATGTGGTATCAGTTTATGAGGCTGTAGGAAATGTTTGATTGCTTTGGCTTCCTGGAAAAGAGCGCAGTCATGGGTTTGGGGCGGACTGGACACGGCGACCCTCGGAGAAACGGTCCGATTAGTGGACCCTGCTTAGGAGTAATCACAACGACACGGTCCAGAACGAATTCCCGAAGCCAGAATAAATCTAATTGCAGCTGTGTAGAAATGACCAACTTCCATGCACATTCTTTTCTCGTCCTTTGGCATACCGTTTAATTTGGCTATTTCTGTATGTCTGCTATGTAATTAACAATGAGGAAGATCACTCGCCGATACTTTTACTTAAAGCATTCACAGGGTCAGTGAACTTTAAGTCAAGTCAAGTGTATTTATATATTGCTTTTCACAATATATTGCATCAAAGCCGCTTCACAGTATCAATCACACATAATAACAATGTTTGTTTCTTAGTGGAAAAACATCCACGTTTGGTAGAGCTGATCAAGGGGATTAATGATTGGTTGATTATATTCAATATTCATGTCTTATTTTGAAGTTTAGTCACAGTCTTTCTGTTTTATGTGATCCTATCATGTGCTTCCATAGTCTCATGTGTCACGTTCTCATTGGTTCATTCATTGTTCATTGCTTTCAGGTGTGTCTTGTTAAGTCATTTGTCTTCAGGCTTGTTTGACTTGAAACAGTGCATGCTGGTCCGAAATTTTGTCCGACTTTATTCGTGTAAACAGATGCTGTATTAAAGGAGTAGTTCACTTTTTAAAAAACTTTTGCTGATAATTTACTCACCCCCGTGTCATCCAAGATGTCCATATCTTTCTTTCTTCAGCCGAAAAGAAATTAAGGTTTTTGATGAAAACATTCCAGGATTTTCTCCATATAATGGACGTCAATGGGGACCAAATGACAGTTTCAGTGCAAACTGTTCAAAGGGCTTTAAACGAGACGATCAAGAAGGGTCTTATCAAGCGAAACGATCGCTCATTTAATAAATAAATAACAAAGTTTACGTTTTATAAGCTCAAATGCTCGCCTTGCTCTGTTCTGTGATGTGCGTTCGTGACTCTCCTGTTCGAACTCGTTCATCAAAATGAACGAATCTTTTTCCGTTCATTCAACGAACGAAATGAACAAATTGAGTCAGAAAAAGATTCGTTCATTTTCTGGCTTTTTTCAGTCTAGAAAGCTCCAAATTCACATTTCTTCTACATAAGAATAAGAGATGAAGTATCCCTTTAATAACTTACAAACAATTCTGCTCTGTACCCCACACCTAAAACTATATACCGACAGAGGCGACTGCATCTTCATTTGCACCACTTTTGCTACCGCTTTTGGAATTTTTACAATGAATCACCCCAAAATGATTCACAAAATAAAAATGTTGTAGTTTAGAAATTAAATGTATGGTCATTAAAGAAGAGGTGTATTCAAGTTATGCATTGAAATGTGAATAAATGAATAAAACAGAACGAAACGAGCACTGCAGTAGGCCAAATAGTGTTATTAAGGCAGGAATGCCTCAACGTTTCATTCACGCTTAGGGAACGCTTTAATTAGCATGGCTATAGAGAGTTTGTTCGCATGTTTCCCACCCTGCGAGACAATAGAGGAGCCCCCCACTCTGGGGCTCGAGCAAATCGCGCCCCGCTTCTCCCTGCGCTCGCCGACGCTCTGAGCCGCGTTTCTAGGTCAAGCGAGTCTGTTATGAATAATAAAACGAGTCAGATTTAAATGGAATATTTATAGAAGCGCACAACAGCAAACGCTGCACCTCCTTCCTGTATTATTTTCTCTGATGTCTGCTGTATTCAGAATATTTCCTCCATCTTGTACTCTTTACCGTGGCATATTCAGCTCTGTGTGTGTGTGTGTGTTTACCGTTATGTTAGCCGGGGGGATTGTGAGACACACTGTGAATGAGCCAGGGCCCTAATGACTCGGGCTGAGGCCCCTGACGGGGACGGAGATATTTGGTTGAGGGGGAATGGTTCGGTTAGAGGTGATGAAAGAGGAACTCGGGAGAAGGAGAGGTTTTATAATTCTGCCCTCGATGTTTAATTGTGGGACCACTCAGATGGAAAACAATTAGAGCGTAGTCAAGTAGGTCTATTTTGGTGCTGTAGGCTATTTATTTTCCAGTGAACTTATTTTCAGCTCCTCTAATCAACATAATAATTGCAGGATCCAAGTATCACATGTGATGGATTCTGTCCACTCTTTCTGTACTGGATCTCACATGACCTTGCACTGGGGGGCCAGTGTTATTCTCCCTCAACATTATTATATCTAATAGGCTACTCCATATTGATAAACCACTCACTAAAATAAACATTAAAGGATACAGAACTATATTCGCTCACCCAAATTCACTCATTAGTACACTTTTATTAGTGTAGCCTTCTCCAAGCAATGATCTGGAATGCAGTTTCCTCCATGAAGTATAATTATATAATATATAATTATATTATATAAGCCTTATATACTATATTATAGTATATATAAGGAATATGTTAGTCTATAGGCGCTGCGTCATACCATTACGCCGGTTGCACTCGTGGTACGGCAGTAATGTGTCTTGATTATTACGCAGGAATGAAAGTATAGTTCCTAGCCATATCAGCCTAAGAAATTGAAACTTTACATTATCCGTCGGTCTTATTAGTGCACGATGTAACTATAGAAGAGTCAAGTTTTAAATAGGAAAAATATCGAAACTCTTTGGTCATTTTTTTTGTTGTTGTTGAGCTAATAGTCTTGTCCACTTCGATGATGTATGCTAAGCTATGCTAAAAGTGGTAACGTTACCGCCTGAACCGGAGATCGGCTGAATGGATTCAAAAACGGTAAAACTCAACAGTTTAACTCTGGGGAGTTGGAAAATGAGTACTTAAAACATTTGTGTACTCCCTTTTAACAAGGAAACCACAGTTTCTAATCGACAAAGTTTCTGTTTTTATTAGATTTTAGGACGATATATTCACAGCATTGTAATCAGTTCATCTAAACAACAAGACACGCCATTTTGATCCGTTTCCCGCTCACGGCAGAACTTCTGTTGTCTTTACTAGCGTAGCAGCAAACTCCCACTCGTTCTTCATGCAGTGATGTGGAACGAGATTAGCTTGCGCACTACAGTATGTTAATGATTATCTCCGTTATTTAAAGAACGAAACATCAAAGCCTTGGCATGTTAGAAATGCGGGGATATATTTTATCTGAGCCTGCACAATTCATTAATATCTCTAGATATCACGATTCGCTTGTAACGTTACCAGAATCCTCGCTTTTGCAGGTAAGCGTGAGGTAAAGCACTTTTATTAGAAGCATAACAAGTACCAGTGCTCCATATTTTATCCTCCTACACACACACAGCTCTCAGATGACAGAGGATAATGCCTTTTTCTCCTCGGAGCTAACATCACCCTTGTCCCAGAGTGCACTGCTTTGGCCTTCTGGATAAAACGCGTTCCAGTCTGTCTGTAGAGATGAGATTTATCACTTTATTTTAGAGTCCTGTTCCCAATGTACATGCATACTATATACTTATAATAGCAGGAAGTGTAATGCATTAAAACACATGAAATCCGCCAATATTATAATGCATTCTGGTTGCAGTTATTAATGAAAAGATAATGCATTATTATGAAAACTTTTATAATGCATTATGCATAGGGTACCAATACGTACCAATATTATTTTTGCATTGTTGTTGCTGCTGAATTCTTTGATTGAATATTCGCTTTACTGAATGTTCTCCTCTTTCTCTGTTCTCCAGGGCCTTATACACATATGAAGACGAGAGTAATGATTTGATCCTGTCTTCATCGGGAGGTAGGCGACATCTCAACACACCTCCTCTACAAATATAGACGATCTAATAATAACCGACCAGAATCTAGTCATGCACAAGCAATAACTCTGTCGGCTGTGACTGATGACATTCATTTGCATTGTTGATGTAGCGTGATTATGCCACCGTGTGATTTGTATCATGACACGGAAGCCAAACGCATTAAACGTGATATTAACACTGTTGGAGTCGTGCTTAAACTCAACGGACTTGTATCCCGCCATCTATGAACCGAACAGATCCCAAACACCGGCGTCAGTAGCAGTAAATCAAACCGTACGGTCTCTATAGAGCTGGAGGACGGAAACCTGTCATTTCACTCTGATGACAATCATTGAGTCTGTGACCGTGGGAAGGCTGTTATTAAGGGCCGTGTTGATTAGCAGAAGTTCGAATTTGTTGTGGGAATTCTGTTTGCAAGAGATTTCCCGCAGTGTTTATTTACAGTGAACCGTTTGATACTCTTGTTCCTGAAGTGTTTGCGTCTAAAGCCATCATTTTCCTGCATCATAAGCATGAAACTGTCACCCCCCTTTTTGAGAATGGGGGTTAAAAAGCACTATTCACACTTAAATGGTTGTAATTCAAGAATGCTTTGGAATATACCCAAGTTTGGTCTTGTTTTAAAGGAAACACTCAGCAGATTATTGCTGAAGTGAAAACACTTCAAAAAATGAAAGTATGAAAAAGTTATGGAAGTTTAAATTCACAGTAAATCAAATATAGTGCATTATATATTTTTTATTTTATATAAAATATATATTTTACAAAATATTTTTACTCTAAAATTACTATAAAATCAAAGCCATAAATCTAACCAAGTTATGCTCCAAATTTGAAGTTGATATCACAAAAATTGAAGTTCCCATGAGATTTTGTTTAGGCGTAGTACCAAAAATAGCCACCGGGTGCCATTGAATTCCATTGAATTAAGTTGTATATATTCTGCCTTAACAAATTAATACATTTCTGTCCAAATAGCAATTCACAAAATTTGGAACCTTGAGACACAGACCTTTCTGACAATATGTGTTTTGTCAAGATTATAAAAGGTTTTGATAATAAATTATGAAATATAATGATGCCCAAAAGGGGAGGAGCCTGATAAAATAAGTACGGTTTCTATGGTAACGCAACGTTCATTTATAAAACGGTGTTCACAGGATGAATTCTGAGTTTATAAGCTTTCAAATGATACCTAATTTATGGTAAATACTAAAATATGTGACATAATAAAAAAGGCAATAAAAAAATTATATTATATTTTAGAGGATAATATATATATATATATATATATATATTATAATTTTTAGAGGATAATATTATATTATGTTTTTTTTATTGAAAAATACTAGATTATATGTTTTATTATGAACTTTTAGCATAAAAATAAAAGTTTCAGTGATTAAAAGTGGGTGCATCGACTTTTTGTGACAAAGGTCAGATTTTTTGAGGTGCACTCTTGTCATAAATTCAATCAATTACTCTTCCTACATAATTTGTAACACAAAACAGGGGTAGAATATTTATCTAGAAGTCTTAGACCTTTCCAACAATATATAATTTGTCATAATTAGATTAAGATTTAATAGAAATATAGTGAAGTAAAGTTAGGCGTTCCGGTTACATGCCTGTAAATATGAGAATGATGCAAACCATCCATCCAAACTTGAGATATATTGAATAACGATATGACGAGTAGATATTTAGCTCAGCCAATCGGATTTCAAAGCAGAAAGGATTGATCCGTTTGAAAATTTTGGTTAAATTAAAAAATGGTTAAATTTTGACTGAAAAACAATGTAAGTATTATTACTGCAGTTGCTCCACTGCTAACTGAGGGACATCATGTACTTTTGTTTCTAAACTGTGATGGTTGTGTTTGACAGATGGCGGTCTGGCAGAGATCGCAGTCACCTTCGATAACACTCGGATCATGTACGGTTTCTGCAGTCTGAAGGAGCCCACGGCCGCCCTGCCGCGCTACGTCCTCATCAACTGGGTGAGATGATGCAACAACCGGCGCTCAGCGACACTGACATTAGCAAGCCGTTAGCAAGAACACTTCAGCTCAAGGACAGAGCACAGTCAGTCGACATCAGTGCCACTCTTTAATTATACATGCAATCTTTTATCTTACAAAAGCAGGAAATCGTCTTGTTATGGTGGTGGGAGCGAGACCCCAAGTCTAATCCGGATATTTAGCCCCCACAATCCTCAATTAGTAGTTATGAAATTGCTACTGTATTTTGCTAAAGCTCTAAGATTACATCAGATTAGAAGATACATGTGCGGTCAGCCTGAGATAGGCCAGAATGACAGAAACTTGAAGCCATTTTGATGTTTGAATATGAGTTGGAAGGCGGAAAATTATAGATGAATCAAGAATAAAGTAAATGTAAGCCTCCAGTCATTAGTTTAGCTCTCCAATTAAATGATTTACACTGCTGGCCAAACGGTTGTAATAGTTATGTTTTTTGTTTTATGTTTTTGAAACATTAAGTCTTTTATGGGGCAGTTGTGGCCTAATGCTTTTAGAGAGATGGATTTGTAACCCAAAAGTTACTGCTCAAGAAACATTTCTTATTATTATCAATGTTGAAAACAGTTGTGCTGCTTAAAGGAGTAGTTCACTTAAAAAAAAAAAAAACTTTTGCTGATAATTTACTCACCCCCGTGTCATCCAAGATGTCCACGTCTTTCTTTCTTCAGTGGAAAAGAAATTAAGGTTTTTGATGAGAACATTCCAGGATTTTCTCCATATAATGGACTTCAATGGGGACCAAACGGCTCAAGGTGCAAAAGACAGTTTCAGTGCAAACTGTTCAAAGAATCGAATTTGAAAAAGATTTGTTCATTTATCCGTTCATCTGGTGTCATTTAAAGCCCTTTGAACAGTTTGCACTGAAACTGTCTTTTGGACCTTGAACCGTTTGGTCCCCATTGAAGTCCATTATATGGAGAAAATCCTGGAATGTTTTCATCAAAAACCTTAATTTCTTTTCGACTGAAGAAAGAAAGACATGGATCTTGGATGACACGGGGGTGAGTAAATTATCAGCAATTTTTTTTTTTTTAAAGTGAACTACTCCTTTAAGATTGTTGTGGAAAATGTGATGCCCCACCATTAAAAAGTTTAGGGTAAATAAGATTTTAAAAAAGAAAGAAAGAAATTAGTCCTTTTATTCAGCAGGGATGCATTAAAATGCATAGGAGGCGTAGATTCCTCAAGAATATTAATAATAGAGCACCAGTAATATAATTGAGCATTTCTGTAGGATCATGTGACACTGCCGTAATGATGCTGAAATTCAGCTTTGCCATCACAGGAATTAGTTACATTTTAAAATATGTAAAAAATAGAAAACAGTTATTTAAAATTGTAGTAATATTTCACAATATTACTGTTTAACTGTATTTTTTTGTTTAAATAAATGCAGCATTGACAAGCATAAGAGACTTGTATAAAAAAAAAAAACATAAACTTACATAAAAAAACATAATTATTCCAAACTTTTGACCAATAGCGTAAATCATTCAATTTGAAGTTGAACAAGCACACAAGCATAAAAAGCACACAACTCCTATGAGTCACTAAATAAATACTTTCATTATTTTCTTGTTCGTTTAATTACAAGCATGTTTTGTACTTTGTATTTTTCGTACTCACAGTATCTCTTTATGTCACAGCAATTATTCTTTATTTTGAATGGGACCTGATCAGAGAAGTGTCTCTATTGTTAGTTGTCTCTCTTTAAATGTATTTGCTCCTTGTAAATGCCCCTAATGGCTGCAGAGGAACACAATATTCACCTCCCTTTAAGGTTCAAGGATGTTATTATCAGTTTTTGGTTTTCTGAAAGCAGTGGGAGGTTGTGTAACGACCTAGGGGAGCAATCTGAGACAATTATATATTGGCAGTACTCTGAAGAGTTTATTTTTTTCCCATTCACACGGCAGTTCAATTCTCTGAATACTTGACGATGTGTGTTCAGGTTGGGGAAGATGTGCCCGATGCCAGGAAGTGTGCCTGTGCCAGCCATGTAGCCACCATAGCCGACTTTTTCCAGGTGGGTCTCCCCAAGGTAAAACAAACATCTTTTACTTCCCTTTTAAATTAGGTAATGATACATGAACCCATCGTCACTCATTCTGACATCATCTGTCCTCTGAGCATGCGAGGAGTGTTAGCTGCTAGGAAATGAAAAGGGAAATGTGATTCATCCAAAACACTGTTCTTTGTTAATGTTGGCGTGAAGCTAGCAAACGCTTATTTGCAGTACTGTATATGCATAACATATATTTTTAAAATAAAAGTTGTTTTGTGATATGAGGTCATGTTTTCATGAGATTCACACATTGAAACATAATTGGTGTTTTCAGAAGTTCAAAAATTGACTCTTAAAGGGATAGTTCACTTTGAAATTAATTTTTGATATGTTTTATCTTACCTCAAGGGCATCCAAGATGTAGGTGTCTTTGTTTCCGCACAAACCGTTGTTGTCTATCAGTCATACACTGGAGGCTAAGGGGGTCCACCAAAGAGCAGCACAGAGAAGTCCAAATTAAACATGATTTAATGACTCGTAAATGTAAGTACACATTGATGGCCTAAGACACGAAACGAGCGGTTTGTGTGAGAAAACGACAGTATTTATATCGTTTTTACCTCGTGTAATCCGAGTGATCTGAATCAGTTGTTCAATGTCCAACTGAACCGAACTGAATCAGTTCAATGTTACGCCGGAAGTGATCGCTTGCGTGTGACGTCACTCAATATTTACACGGAGATTTCGGAAGTTTTACCTTTTACTAAACATATTTAGATATCCCGAAATCGTCTTCCATTGCGGTTTCCCGTATATCTAAATATGTTTAGTGAAAGGTAAAACTTCCGAAATCTCTGTATAAACAAAGAGTGACGTCGGCGCGCAGACCGAAGCGCCCGTGCCGTCAGATCATTTTGTCATGGCTATGATTACAAGAGGTAAGACGCTATAAATACTGTTGGTTTTCTCACACAAACCGCTCGTTTCGTGTCTTAGGCCATCAATGTGTACTTACATTTACGAGTCATTAAATCATGTTTAATTTGGACTTCTCTGTGCTGCTCTTTGAGGTGGTGACCATAGACCTCCATTATATGACTGACAGACAAGAACGCTTTGACCTAAAAATATCAAAATTGAAAATACTGCGGAAACAAAGACAACTACATCTTGGATGCCCTTGAGGAAAGATAAAACATACCAAAAATTAATTTCAAAGTGAACTATCCCTTTAATGCATGAATTTTTACTAACGTGCTTTTCGATATCACTTCTGTTGTTGTTCAGGCTTTGTTTGACAGCATGCCTCTTTAGCTCTCTTTGTGCTCCAGCAGATCAGAGTAAATCATGTGGGTGGGCCACAGAGTCTTGGTGGGGTTGTTGGATGTGTGTGTGTGTGTGTGTGTGTGTACCTAACTGCTGGTATTGTGCAAGAAGATGTTTTTAGATGACTAACCTGCTCCTCTTCATAGCTATTGTATTGGAGGTGTCTGCCGGTGTGAGGCCGCTCTGCTTTTCAAGCCTCTCAGTCTCTTCAACGTGTGTGCGTGGGTGAGAAAGGGAGAGAGAGATTAATGCATTGAGGTAGAGAAACTCCACGATAAAACATCAGTGAGACGACCAAGGCCGCCGCAGAGATTGTGCTTTTTGGTTGAAAGAGAGACGGTGCTATCAGGAATGAATTGATCTAAAGTGCCAGTCACCTCATCGCTTGCTCTTTTTGAGCGGCTGAAAACACTGATGGCAGTATTCGTGTCAGAGAAATACACATGAACTAGATATAGTCGGTTTGTTTGATATTCTTACAAAAGCTTAGTTAGAGGAAGAGCTCTTTATTCTCAAAGACTTGTTTTGTTTCGCATGAAAAGCCTAATTGCATGTGAATCAATCATTCATACTCATTCCTTCATATGTTATTAACTGCAGTTATTCACTTTGGACTAATTCTTTCATTAATGATATTATTGATGAGTTAATAATGTACACAACTGTTGATTTTTATTTTATTTTATTTTTTTAGATTTTTTTCCGCAATTAATCGCAACCAAAATGTTTGTGTTTACATAATATATGTTGGTGCAAAGTGTCTGATTATTTTATATATATATATAAATACAATATTTAAAACATATATTTTCATACTGTATATAGGTTTATATATAATTTATATTGTATATAAATATAAATATTTTACATATTATATATAAGTATTTTTTTTTCTTTAATATACATGCATGTGTGTATTTATATATATATACAAAATAATTATTCACAGTGCACACACATTTTATTTTGGATGCGATTAATTGTTTGACAGACCTATTTTTTTAAGTATATTTTAACCTAATATTAACCTATTTTTTTAAGTTTTTTTTCTTAAATATACATGCATGTGTGTGTATTTATATATATATATATATATATATATATATATATATATATATTCAAAATAATTATACACAGTGCACACACATTTTATTTTGGATGCGATTAATCGTTTGACAGACCTATTTTTTTAAGTGTTAAAGAAGGTACTTTTATTTATGAAGGGTGCATTAATTTGATCAAAAGTGACAGTAAAGACATTTTAAATAAATACTATACTATTTATTGAAGAATGTTGAAACTATTTTAGTATTAGATACAGCACAACTTTCTTAAAAATTGAAAATATTAATAAATGTTTTTTTTAGCTGGAAATCAGTGTATTTAATGATTTCTGAAGGATCGTATGACACTGAAGAGTGAAGACTAGAGTAATGGCTTCCATTCCAATTCCATGTTTTCAAATAAAAAAAAAATTAAATAGTAATAATATTTCTCAAAATTATTGATTTTAGTGTTTTTGATCAGATAAATACAAAAACATTACAAATCTTACCAACCCCAAACTTTTCAAGAGTTGTGTACATTTTGTTGCAGTTGCACCAATTGAAAATATGGCACGGCATTGGCTAGAAATTTTTTTTTTTATAGACTTATTTTCAGTATATGTGTGTATTTTAATAGAAAATATCAGATGAACATATTCTTTGTAGGAAAAAAAAATCTTAAATGGACTGGTTTGCGGAAATTAATCAAACTTACAATTTCCAAAACCAAGGCACAAACAAGTCGCCGAAGAAGACTTTTGAGACCAATCCCAATAAATACACAGAAATGAATCAAACTTACCAACACTAATGAGACTTTTGAAACATTTCCCTCTCAACAGTCTCACACAAAGTCACATGACTTTGGTCATGTGGTTTCTTTTGGAAACCTGTAGAGCTGATGCTTTTGTGACTTTCTTCTTTTGTCTGACTCTCTTGTGACAGTTAAAAGAGATCTCGTCATTTAAATGCACGGTTAATGCTGGTTGCCAGGTGACGTGTGTGTGTGTGTGTGTGTGTGTGTGTGTGTGTGTGTGCAGCAGTACTACTGATGTATTTTTTTCTCTCTCTCCAGGGTGTTGACGTCGTCGTGAACGCCAGCACCATAGACGACATCGACCCCTCCGCCATCGGACAGAGGCTGACCAATGGGACGGCTCCGGTGGCCAGCCCAGTGTTGAGCCGCCTGCGAATGAAAGACGAGGAGAACTCGGAGAACGTTGTGCGTGATTGGTGACACAAGGGCTTGTTTGCATGCACACTAGAAAGGGGTCAAATCAAGTTGTCTGTGAATGGCTCTCTAATAGTGTGATGTGTGACTCAAGGGCACAGCCTTTCTGCTGGTTTTAGAGGGAAAAGCCAGAGGAACTGAAACAATGATCGCTTATACGAAACACACTTTAAAATAACCCAGATCCTTCACTTATCTGAATGACGTCTGTGCCAAGTATGCACTACGTCAAAAGTTTGTAATAATTACTATTTAATGTTTTTGAAAGAAGTCTCTTATACTCGCGTTAAAAAGAGTAATATTGTTAAATATTATCACAATATGAAAGAACTGCACTGTAAATTATATGATCAATAAGTTTTACAATTATGTTTTTACTAGGGCTGTCAAACGATTAATCACATCCGAAATAAAGACATATATGTGGTTGCACTTTGTATAATTATTTTGTATATATATATATAAATACACACACATGCATGTATATTTAAGAAAAAAAAATTTATATATAAAATATTTATACATAATATAAAGTGTATATAAATCTATATACATGAAAATATTTCTTAAATATATACAAGCATGTGTGTGTATTTATATATATATATATATATATATATAAAGTAATTATACACAGTGCACCCACATATATTTTGTAAACACAAACTTTTATTTTGATGCGATTAATCGCGATTAATCGTTTGATAGCCCTGGTTTTTACATTGCTTTAACTCATCAAAGTGACTTTTTTAAAAGTTACACAAGATGCATCTAATTTTTAAGTCAGTTTAATGTCATTTAAGTATTGTGATTTGAATATAATTTATTTATTCCTGTAATGTAAAGCTATATTTCCAGCATCATTACTCACAAATCATTTCTTCTTATTATTGTTATCAGTGTTGAAAACAGTTGTGCTGTTTAATATTTTTGTGGATGCCATTCAAAGGTTTGGGGTAAGCAAAATATAAAAAAGGTAATACATTTGTTCAGCAGGGATGAATTAAATTGAACATTTATGATGCTATAATTATTTCAAATAAATGCTGTTTATTAAACTTTCTCTTCATCAAAGAATGATCATGGTTTCCACAAAAATATTAAGCAGCAAAAAACATTTTCGCCAATGAAAATAAGAACTTGTATTAATAACTAAGCACTAATGGGTGGCAATTGAGCATCAGATCATCATATTCTAGTGATTTCTGAAGGGTCATGTAACACTGACACAAAGGCATAAATTACATTTTAAAATATATTCAAATAGAAAACAGTTATTTTAATTGAAATAATATTTCCCAGCTTTTACTGTATTTTGATTAAATTAATGCTGGCTTGGTGAGTATAAGAGACTTCTTTCAGAAAAACATAACATATATGTATGCTTTATTGAATCCCCTACAATTTGGTTATACCTTAGCGTTTCAACCAGTAAAGTTTAAGAACTAAGAGATGTTGGTATAATCTAATCACAAGGTCTCAACAAGGATAGTAATACCAGAATTTTTTGGTCTTGTGGGGACATTTTTGGGAAATTATGTTTTTTTGAAACTCTAAATGACAAACATGAAACATGAAAACCCAACATATGTGCTCTCTAGCTGACTTTATGTTTGGAGAAGGAACAAACCGTCCTCATAGCGATGTCCTCCTTTGGATCAATATCTTTGTCCAATTAAAATGGCCTGTCGTCACACTTCCCCTTTCCTCCTGACCACAGGGCACCACCTACCAGAAAACTAATGCAGAGATCGAGATGAAGAAGATCAATCGAGAGGAGTTCTGGGAACAAGCCAAGGTAGAGATGTGATACCTTTGTGTTTCTGGATCCAGTGTCCGCACAACGTGACGACCTCTTCCTTTAACATTAATGAGGAAGTGCGTCTGTCAGATTCGTTGATGCCGTTCAGTCACTAGCAAACTTTTATTTATTTATTTGGAATATTTCTTTTGAACTTTTTTTGGTGGATTTTTTTTTTTTGCATAGACTTCAATCCTAAATTATGAAAATTCATTAAAAAAAAAATATTTTAAAACTGATCACCTAAACACAGAGTGAAATAGAGGCAATATTTATTGTATGGCTGAAGCAGCTGACAACAGACACTAACAACCACTAATTTCCCTAATTATGTTTTATATTTATATATATAATAAATAGTGTACTTGTTTCCAATTTTTATTGTTCATTATTTTCTAACTGTACTGTAATTTTGACATTTAAAAAATATTATTATTACAATAATTAATTGAAGTGAAATTACAGAATTTAAATATACAAGCTTGATAAAAATGATCATTCCAGAAGAAAATTTCAAATGGCACTTAGAGGCTTTTGCATCTGAACTCTTCATATATACTGTAATTATATATATATATACATATATATATATATATATTAGGGCTGTGCAAAAATAAATTGCGATTAATCGCATCCAAAATAAAAGTCTGTGTTTACATAATATATTTGTGTGTGCTGTATATAATTATTTTGTATAAATAAATACAAACACATGCATGTATATATTTAAGAAAATGTGTTATTCATATATAAAATATTTATATTTATATAATATAGATAAAATATTTATATTTATATAATATAGATTATGTATATGTGTATATATATATATATATATATATATATACAGAATTTAAGCGCAAATAATTCTTAAATATATACATTCATGCATAGGTATTTATATATACAAAATAATTATATACAGCACACACAAATATATTATGTAAACACAGACTTGGATGTGATTAATCACAATTAATTTTTGCACAGCCCTAATATATATATATATATATATATATATATATATATATATTACTCAGTATATATTAGAACATCCACATTTTTAGAACTGGAATATATTAGAACTGAAACATTTTTGTAAAGAACTGAAAGACTCCTTTGTTATATATATATATATATATAGAGCATTTTGCAAGATGTAAACAACACTGGTCCAGAAGCACTTCCTGTTTCAGTTTGTAACTGTTTTCTTTATTTCACATGTAAAGAAAACATCTTAAAGATGTTTGTTTAACTTTTTGATTCATATTTATATGTTCTGCTGGTTGTATTTTATCCCAGCTTTTATGTAGTGTTAAAAAACTGAAACAGGAAGTGCTTCTGGACCAGTGTTGTTTACATCTTGCGAAATGCTCTGTGTATATATATATAACTAATAATTATAATGGAAAAAGGAGGCCTGTGTCCTTTACAAACATTGATTCACTGTTCAGTTCAGTGTGTTCTACAATGTTCTAATCTAATCTTATTTAAATGCATTTGACTGATATCTTTGTGACGTGTGCGTTTAAAGCGGGAAGAGGAGCTGAGAAAGGAGGAAGAGAGAAGGAAGATGGCGGAGGAACGGCAGCGCTTCGAAGCCGAGCGGATGGAGCTGGAGAGAAAAGAGCAGGAGGATCGAGAGAAGCGATACCGCGAGAGAGAGCAGCAGATCGAGGAACACAGGTGCCATGAGGCCACAGTCGCCATTACCCATGATCCTCAGCCAGACATTACTGTATGATGACGCTATCCGTGTTTATATGTGCGGCCACAGGAAGAAGATGCTGGAGGACGAAGAGGCCAAAGAGAGGTCGAGGAATCAACCCTTGATTGTAAGAGTGCGTGTGCTTTGCTTTCAGTAAACCTTGCAACGAATGGGTGGTAAGACCTATGACCTCTGACCCCTGTTTCTTCAGTAATAAGGGGGCTGGCCGTGGGCTATACAGAAGTATTTACACAAAATCAGTTCAGATCTATTGCACTAGTCATTTGTGAAGTAAATAAATTACAAACATTGGTATGCGGAGGAACCCACATTTACAGTTTTTCTCGATTGTGTTTACATGCCTCATACTCACAGAACTCTACACACACACACACACAATCGGCAAAACCCCTCAATTCTCCTGCAAAATGAAACTACATTCAAAACAATGTTATTTCTTCTCAAAATGGTATTTTGTTTTCAAATGAGACACACAAACCATCATATGAAAAGACATTTATAAGAACCAAATGAACGGAAAACACGTCTTCTCCATTCATCATAATGACTTCGGCCTTTGTTCTTTCAGTGTTACACTTACTACCGACAGTACACACATAAGTGTTGTAAAATATTTGAGAATATTTGAGTTTTTATACCCAGAACACACAAATACACGGTAACAAATATATTTATTTTTCCCACAAAAACAATGTACATCCCAACTAGGGATGGGCAACGATTAATCGTGATTAATCGCATCCAAAATAAAAGTTTGTGTTTACATAATATATGTGTGTGTAGTAGTGTGTATAATTAATTTGTATATATAAATACCCCACACATGCATGTATATATTTAAGAAATATGTGTTATTAATATATAGGGTTAGGGTTAGATTGAGATTAGGAATGCAGAATCCCTTAGAGTTTTTAAATCCTCCCTTAAAACTTACTTTTTTAGGGTGGCTTTTATGTGATTGTGTGATTACTGTGATTGTTATTATATTTGCCTTTTATTTTATTGCTTGTTTAGTTTTTATTGCCTAGAGACTGTTGTGTATCTTTCTAATTCCATAATTTTTTTTATGTAAAGTGCTTTGAGATACTACTTTTAAAGGCACTATATAAAATAAAGTTTTATTATTATTATTATTATATCAAATACTTATATTTATATATAATATTAATTGTTAATAAATATATATAAAATTTATACATGCACATATTTCTTAAATATATACATGCATGTGTGGGTATTTATATATACAAATTAATTATACACACTGTAAACACAAACTTTTATTTTGGATGCGATTAATCGTTGCCCATCCCTAATCTCAACCAACACAAAGTTGCACATACAATGGTCTACATACAAAACAACAGAAAAAATACTGTATACAGTTACAGTAAAAATAAAAAGCTCTGATTGCTAATTGTAAAGGTTTTGCTCGTGTGATGAGTTAGTGTGGGTATCTGAACTACAGTGCGTTCCTTGCGAATACGGGATTTTCTGCATGAAAATTGTACCAAATTTTGAAAAAAGTGTGTTTTAGAACTGAATTGTGCTTGTAGTTCAGCAGAATTGGTTCAGGGGGTTGTGAGTTACATGTTTTGCTCAATAGTACCAGTATTTGTATGTAAACAATTGAGAAGAACTGTACCTGTAATAAAGAAGTTTTTCCGCCCCCTGCTGGAAATAACGGTGCACTGCTTCTCTTCACAGACAGAGCCCAGCTGTGAAGACCCGAACCTGGAGAAGAAGGAGTCAGAGGTGGAGGTGGGTTCACACGAGTCACACTAACATCGCTTCATTTCTCAAATAAGTGTTTTAAGAAGGAGAACAGACCCTGAAATGTGGAGCAGACTTGTGTTGTGTTGTGAGTGATGATGACGGATATTCTGCAGGGATTTACATGTGGGTCAGTGGGGTTCCTCGGGCTATTTAAAGACAAAGTGTGTTTCTGTGTGTGTGCAGTCGATTGGATCTTCATGATGAGAAGAAGGGGCCAAAAAATCCTAATGCAAAACTTTCTTACCTGCACATTACATTTAATACACTACCGGTCAAACGTTTGGAATAATTAAGGGGTTCTGAGGTGCACATAGTATGATTTTTACTAGCGATATACGACGATATATGTTGATTTTTAATGTTATCGTTATCGGCCTGGTAAGAAAATGTGGCCGATATATTAAAGCCGATAAATAACGTATTATTCCCTTCAGCTGAGACACTTGTTGAGAACTGTTTATGTTTTTGAATTTCTTGAAATATGATTGAAATCTCTTCAAAAAAATGAAAATCTGGTTCGGGACAACATGTGCAACGCAAATCTGTCATATCGGCTAAACAACACTATAATGAGAACATCATTATAATTGTGCGCTTGGGACGTAGATTTAATTGTTTTTGTAATCAGGCTCTCAAAATTAGATAAAAATTTGGATTTAAGTTTATCGGCCGATATATCGGTTATCGGCTTTCAAATATTAAGAATTATCGGTATCGGCCAAAATTTTCATATCGTTGCATCCCTAATTTTTACAGTAAAACTTAACGCATAATTTAGAAATAAAATGCCATTTCCTACCTTGATTTTAGCCTCTGATTTGAGCGCCGTGTTTTAAGGGGCGTGTCTGCTGAGAGACTTCAGTGTAAACGCCCACTGCCGTGATTGGCTGACAGCTTTACATAAGAAATAGCTAGTATTACATGTGTAACTCTCTCGAAAACTTCTACACGAATGCAGTGATCTCGTCATTGCAACTGGATTTCTGCACACTGACTGATGTATTAAATGTGTTTCTAGGAGGCAGCAGCCATCATTGCCCAGAGGCCTGATAACCCACGGGAATACTTCAAGCAGAGAGAGAGAGCCATCGCCAACAGTGTGGACATCTCTCCAGTCTCCACGCACAGGACCGGTAAGATCATACTGAAAGCTGGAGTGCCACTAATACTCTGTGTGTCCTGCTACTTGCTCTCTCAATCTGTCATTTAACGAGAATTGAACAACACGACTGCTCTGCTCTGAATCACCATGACAGACTTCTAAGGGTCATATTCATATAGTTAACTTATATAGACATTTAGATATTGATATGTTTATATAGAGAACAGATGTTAAAGAGAGAAGGATCTAAACTTCTTATGCTGGCTGGCTACAAGTTATTGTAAACCACAGTTATAAATGGGTTTATATAACCTCATGCTGGTCATTTTGATCAATACAAACACCCAACATTTCTGTGTTTTCTTAAAGGCGTAGTTCACTTTTGAAAAAACTTTTGCTGATAATTTACTCGCCCCCGTGTCATCCAAGATGTCCATGTCTTTCTTTCTTCAGTCGAAAAGAAATTAAGGTTTTTGATGAAAACATTCCAGGATTTTCTCCATTTTTCAATGGGGACCAAAAGAGAGTTTCAGTGCAAACTGTTCAAAGGGCTTTAAACGATTCCAGACGATAAATAAGGGGCTTATTAAGCGAAACGAGCAACCATTTAATAAATAAATAACAAAGTTTAGGTTTTATAAGCTCAAATGCTCGCCTTGCTCTGTTCTGTGATGCTCGTTCGTGACTCTCCTGTTCCAACTCGTTCATCAAAATCAAGTCAATTCGTTCATTTCATTCGTTGAATGAACCAAATGACACGTAAAATGATTTGTTCATTTTGATAAAGCTCATTTTTGAAAAAGTTCATTTCCATATGAGCTTAGAAAACTTCAACTTTGCTATTTATTTATTAAATGGCCGCTCGTTTCGCTTGATAAGACCCTTATTCATCGTCTGGAGTCATTTAAAGCCCTTTGAACAGTTTGCAGTTTGCACTGAAACTCTCATTTGGACCTTGAACCGTTTGGTCCCCATTGAAGTCCATTATATGGAGTAAATTATCAGCAAAAGTTTTTTGAAAAGTGAACAACTCCTTTAATCAACATGATATCACTATGCAATCACGTTTGCTAAGTCGTGAAGTTTGCTGTTTTTGGTCCAAATTGCTTTACCAACTTTATCACAATTCGGAGGCTGAGTAGATCAATGCTATTTTATCTATCTTAAACCTTTTTTCAACAGGGATGCTAAAACAAAGATTGCTTTACTGTCAAAATGCTTTATTATTGCAATTTTCCTGCTGTGAACAATGCAAGATTATTTACTGGGTGATTGTCTCATTTGGTTGTTTATTCAGTGTTGGAGTGAATGTTGAACTCCTCACTAGCATCTGATGTTGACGGGGTGTGAGAGCATCACACTAACAGCTGTTTTCTTACCTCTCTCCTTCTACCTTATTTTCTCTCTCTCTATTTCTTGGTAATTTCTTTTTTTCTCTTCTTCTGCTCACTCCATCGTTTTGGTTGTTGACATTTCCGTTAAACCATCTGTCCATCTCATCTCTCCTCCTGACGATCCTGGACCTTAATTACCCTCCACCCAACCGGTGCACATCCGTCATCATCTCTTCTGTTTGAACTCGTGCTTCTCTGTCTCTCTTTACACAAATTTCCTCCCCTCTCTGTCCCTGGATTTATTTCCTCATGTCTATCCGGTTTCGTCTTCTGTGTACGTCGCTCTTTGTGTGTGTGTGTGTGTGTCCCACACGATGGTCCCGTCTGCCGTTTGCCAGGCCGCTTGGACAGTCCATTCTTGAGGCAGCAGCACAGTCCATCCGATCGCAGCCCGCCCGCCTCGCGCACTCCGCCCTGTACGCGGCGGCAGCCAGGTCCACCTGGTAGGTACTGGACAGATCTCGCTGAGGGCCACGTAGGGTCACCGGGTCACCAGTCTAGCCTGTAGCCTCTCTTCTCACTGAATTAGCGTTTTTCTTTTGGCTTCCTCTGCAACACTGAGCTCTGAGCACTGCACTGGGACGCTCTAGGTTAGTATGTGCTAGTATTAAAGGGATCACCCTCACCCTCATGATGCTCCAAACCCTTTAGTTCATCCAAAAATGCAAATTCTGTCAGTATTTAATTTCCTCACCCTCATGTTGTTTCAACCCCGTAAGACCTTCGTTCATCTTCGCAACACAAATTAAGATATTTAAGATATTAAGATCGCTCCTGCATACTAGTCCATAGGCTTCTTGACTCGAAAAGTCAGTAAAGACATCGTTAAAATAGTCCAAGTGACTACAGGGGCTCAATCTTAACTTTATCAAACGGCGAGAACACTTTTTGTGCGCAAAAAACAACAAAAATAAGGACTTTATTTCAACTTGATCCTTCTCCATGGGCCTGTAGTCAGTTAACGTAGTGTGATTGCGTAAAGCTACGTCGCACGAAGGCTCACTATTGGCCGACGCTGGTCACGTGTGTGATGCGTGTGACGTACAATAACAGAAGCTTACGCTATTAAACTAGTAACCTGACTCGCGCAGAGGGAGAAATAAACGAATAGTTGAAATAAAGTCCTTATTTTTGTTGTTTTTGCGCGCAAAAAGTGTTCTCGTCGTTTGATAAAGTTAAGATTGAGCCCCTGTAGTCACTTGGACTATTTTAACGATGTCTTTAATGACTTTTCGAGTCAAGAAGCCTATGGACTAGTATGCAGGAGCGATCTTAATATCTTAAATATCTTAATTTGTGTTGCGAAGATGAACGAAGGTCTTACGGGGTTGGAACAACATGAGGGGGAGTAAATTAAATACTGACAGAATTTGCATTTTTGGGTGAACTAACCCTTTAAAGAAGAACTTCGGCGCACAATGAACCTTTGGTCTAATAAAACATCGGTACCTAGTCAATCGTTCTCTGAGATTTGCTTTCATGATAATCGAATGTAAAGAGTTTTATCTCTAAAAACTCTTTAGCATATAACGCTAGTATATGGGGGCATTTAAAACTAACAAGCCTCAAAATAGCCCCACACTTACGCAGTAACATAATGAGGGTCCATACATGCAAAACGAAGCATTGAGAACTTTGTAAGTGTACAAACAGTAGATACTTTATAAAGACAGTCCACTTCGCGTATACCAGGGGTTCTCAAACTCTTGTTTAACATTATGCAATTCAGAGCGAAATGTAATGATTTCATATTAAAGGAGTAGTTCACTTTTTAAAAAAACTTTTGCTGATAATTTACTCACCCCCGTGTCATCCAAGATGTCCACGTCTTTCTTTCTTCAGTCGAAAAAAGAAATGAAGGTTTTTGATGAAAACATTCCAGGATTTTCTCCATATAATGGACTTCAATGGGGTCCAAAAGACAGTTTCAGTGCAAACTGTTCAAAGGGCTTTAAACGACTCCAGACGATGAATAAGAGTCTTATCAAGCGAAACGATCGACCATTTAATAAATAAATAAATAAATAAAGTTTTATAAGCTGAAATGTTTGCCTTGCTCTGTTCTGTGATGCGCGTTCGTGACTCTCCTGTTCAAACTCAAAATGAACGAATCTTTTTTTTGAGTCATTTCGTCCGTTGAATGAATCAAATGACTAGAAAAAAGATTCGAACAGCAGAGTCACGAGCCGTTTGGACCCCATTGAAGTGCATTATATGTTTTCATCAAAAACCTTAATTTCTTTTCGACTGAAGAAAGAAAGACGTGGACATCTTGGATGACACAGGGGCGAGTAAATTATCAGCAAAAGTTTTTTGAAAAGTGAATTAACGCTTTAAGTAGATGAGTTAACTCCGCTTAATAAATGCGATAAATAAATGTCCTCAAAGCTGTAGCCGTCTCCCGTTCTGTGTCCCATCTCGAGTAACCCGCTGTACTAGCTAACTAACTACGGCCTTCTCAGTGTCACGGTCCATTTCGTTCTCAAGACGTCTATTTGATCCATACTGCCATCTTCTCTGGATCCATGGTATGTGTTCTATACTTGTTGTCCTTTGACTTTGTATTTTGCGCAGGAAACATTTAGCATGTGTTATTTTGAAGCGATGCCATGGAGGTTTGGGAGACTGAGACAAACTGATTCTTTTGGTTAGGGCGATCTGGTTGAATCTCACCAATGTTACTCCCCTCATGTCCCCCTTCCTCTCCTCATGCTCTTTCTGACGGATAACCGGCGGCCCCGCCTGCGCTTCCTTTCGTCCTGTTGACCCGTGAGTGTACGCCACGCTGCACCGCATGTGATTGTGGTCTCCGAGCCCTCGGGCTTGCACTCCGTGGACCTTGTGTGACTGTACTGTTGTGGAGCCGACCTTGTGGTGTGTTCAAGTGTAAAGGACTATGTATGAGGAGGACTAAACACTGGGTCTGTACTAAGACTCAATATCTAGAGTTTATGATACTGTGGATTTCACTTTCAGAAATGGGGGAAGTTGAATTGTCACTTGGCATGTGCAGTTTATACAATGATCATTGTGATATCACGAGTTGTGTTTGTTATATGTCGTGTGAACTGTATCTTCATCTATTAATCACCAAAATCTGCATCTCAGTGCTTTTTGTTGCATTTCAAATTGGTAAATTTCCCAGCTATCGGGGATATTCGCAGACAAGGTTATGAACAAACATTCTTTCTAGTAACATTAATATAATGTTCATTCAAAGTTATCTGGTCTTTAAGATTGTTAGCACAAAAACATTGTTTATATATTGTTCATTATATTTTTTCTAAAACATTTAGTTAGGCTGATAAATGAATTTTTCAAAAATAAAATAAAAACGGACAAAACACGCTTGAACCATGTCATGAGTGTTGGAGTTCTATGGTTTGTCCACCAGAGGGCACTCTACACCGTTCCTGTTGGCACGAGACATACATTGCTTGAATAATAGGGCTGTGCAAAAATTAATTGCGATTAATCGCATCCAAAATAAAAGTCTGTGTTTACATAAAATATTTGTGTGTGCTGTATATGATTATTTTGTATATATAAATACACACACATGCATGTATATATTTAAGAAAATGTGTTATTCATATATAAAATATTTATATTTATATAATATAGATTATGTATTTATAAATATATACAGAATTTAAGCGCAAATAATTCTTAAATATATACATGCATGCATAGGTATTTATATATACAAAATAATTATACACAGCACACACAAATATATTATGTAAACACAGACTTTTATTTTGGATACGATTAATCGCAATTAATTTTTGCACAGCCCTATATAACAATTAAAAGATCATCCCCATCAGTTCTCTTAACTCAAATAAGCAGGACAAAATGTGTGTGACTATCATGTCCAGTTTTGCTGCTGTTAAATAAGCCGAGAGTGAAGCGGAATTAGCTAGTAATAGTAACGTTACGTTGTAACAGTGTAGTTGACTGATTGTCCTTTTAACTTTTGACAATGTGACTGAAGTATTTCTTTGAGACAATGAGCAATGAAACATATCATCTCTCCTTGGACTCTTATATTGAAAACGTATGTTTTACAATTTGCAGTATGACGTTATCCATTGCTAAATTATGGCTCATCATAGACTAGCTGACCACAAAGCTAGCTAACGCCACTATCATCAGTCTGTTCTGTTGTGACAATTAAAATGCATTATCATATTATTTTAGTTAAAACTCATACATAACTACAAATAATTAATGTTAGGGAAATCTGTTAATGTTTTGTTGCACATTTCTGAAAAAAATAAAAAATAATAATAAATATCGGCCGATATATCGGTTTTTAAAACCAACAATATTTGTATCGGTATCGGCCTTCAAAATCCTTTATCACTTGGGCTCTATTTGTAAATACTAATACTTGTTCACCGAACATTCAAAGTAACAATGTTTGCAAAATGAGCAAATGGAAGGTTTTCTTAACTTTTACAAAACAGATTTTTTTTTTAATGTTCTTAGAACATAGTTTTTGTTAGCTGGGTTCATAGTTCAGAGGTTGCTCAGGAGACGTGACTTTTCAAAATGTTTTTTCAATAGTAATTTATAAATGAGACGATTGTTGATAATGTGCTGTTGAATAAATTTGATTACTGTTTGAAATCTCTGACTTTTGATTGCAGATGTTTTTGCAACCCTGAGCACAATTTGTGATATTTTACTGTAGATATTAGACCATATTTGACCCAGAAAGCAACATGTAGCATGCAACATGTGGATTCAAAGCGTGCCGGATCTGGGCCGGAGATTGTACAAAAATAAATATCATTACTATCCAGGAGAAAGAATGGAGATTTTAAAGAGACCTCATCTGTGATTGTTCTTTCCAGTGGGTTTTTATCATTATTTAGATATTTCCTAAAAAGTGCATGAACAAGTCCAATAAAATCTGCATTATTACATTGTAATTTTAAAATCTTGTCTTATATTGACCACATATATTTGAACCTGTCAGCTCGCTTCAGCTGTTTTGAGTATAAGACATTTTTTTTTAATAAACATGCATGTTCAGAAAACGACATGTGACCTCATTTTCTGTGCTTTACACCATGTTGTGTCTTCATGGTCACAGTGGCATGTCTGTTTTAATGTCACAACACTGTGGACGACAGATAAAACACTGCTTGCTGTTGTTTGGCGTTGATAGCAATCCTTTCGGACAATTTGTAAATTGTGTCATCTGTGTTGTGATTGATTGATATTTTGTCTGGCATGTGTTGCTTGCGATTATCAAACATTTACCTTCTCTGTGATGTCTCAGATGACTGTACCGAAGGACTCCTGGAGCGCAGCATGACCACTGGATGCACTCCCATCCCGAAAATCGCCATTCAGGAGGATGACTTCTTTCGAAAGGAGTTTGGTAAGGCTTTAAAAACAAGGGGAACTCTCTTTGATATTCAGATTTGAAAACAGCTAATCCTCTTTTGGCGTAAAAAAAAAAAAAAAAAAAAAAAAAAAAAAGAGTTTGTAAGAGTTTCCCTTTCAGATGCAACATTTATAGGTATTTGAGTTAATCATGCAAGGTGATTTACTAAAGGTTGTCACTAGTCAATTTACTGGTATTTGCACCCCTAAAAAGCATAATTTGAGGTGGTGACCATAGACCTCCATTACATGACTGACACACAAGAACGCTTTGACCTAAAATTATCAAAATTGAAAATACTGCGGAAACAAAGACACCTACATCTTGGATGCCCTTGAGGGAAGATAACACATACCAAAAATTAATTTCAAAGTGAACTATCCCTTTAATATATGAAGCAGCAGTGCTATTTTTAAATAATAAAAGTTGAGATCCCTAAAAAAAATAATCTCCAAGAATGTCATCCACAAAACTAGTTAATAAGTCAGCAAAGACTGTTTGGGATTTTGGCTGTTATTGGTCCCTACCGCATGCAGACCGGCCCCTGTGATGCATCCTGGGGCTCTTCTGTTTGTCCAGGTTGTGTTTGCCTTCACAGCTGACTGACTTTCTCAGCTCTTGTGTGTCCACGCTGACGGCACTGAGTATGCTTGAGAAAAGCACTTCACCGGGGCTCATAATCAGAAGATGAAGAAACAGACCCATGCATACATATCTTTGATTTTCCCACAAATGCTTTCTTAAAGGGATACTCCACTTTTTTTTGGTAATAGTCTCATTTTACAACTCCCCCAGAGTTAAACAGTTGAGTTTTACCGTTTTCGAATGCATTTAGCTGATTTTTTGATAATTAGAAGAATATTATTAACCGGACAGTTTCTGGTCTCATTGACTTCCATAGTATATTTTTTCCTACTATGGAAGTCAATGAGACCAGAAACTTTCTGGTCACTGATATTCTTCTAATTAGCAGAAAATCGGCTGAATGCATTCGAAAACGGTAAAACTCAACAGTTTAACTCTGGGGGAGTTGTAAAATGAGACTATTACCAAAAAAAAGTGGAGTATCCTTTTAAGATGAGAGAAAGATGAAGAGTTGTTCTATATCAAAGGCTTCATATATTTCCTTTTCATAACAACACTGTATTTATGCTGTGTTCTGTGTCATTGTTTTTTAGTTAGAAAGCTTTCAAAGAATACATTAAAATACATAAAAACTAAATGTCATGTGTTGGTTTAAATAATGTGTTATACTTTTTTACAGTGTAATTATACTAGGGCTGTGCAAAAATTTATTGCGATTAATCGCATCCAAAATAAAAGTCTGAGTTTACATAATATATTTCTGTGTGCTGTGTATAATTATTTTGTATATATAAATACATATGCATGCTTGTATATATTTAAGAATTATTTGCGCTTAAATTCTGTATATATATATATATATATATATAAAAAAAATCTATATTATATAAATATAAATATTTTATATATGAATGAAACATTTTCTTAAATTTATACATGCATGTGTGAGTATTTATATATACAAAATAATTATATACAGCACACACAAATATATTATGTAAACACAGACTTTTATTTTGGATGCGATTAATCACAATTAATTTTTGCACAGCCCTAAATTATACATATAAGTACTGAGTAATATTAATTAAGTAACTACATGTACTTACTATAGGGTTAGGGTTTGATTTAGTTGCATTGTTCACAATTATAGTAACTGCATGTAACATTGACACTGTAAAAAAGGGGTTACCTACTGTATTTTTTAGGTACCATAATAACAATAAATAAGTGTAAATAGGCGATTGTTTATTAGAACTGCATAATTAATTACTTTATTATGTGGAGTTGTGAAAACCTGTATATATTGTAAAAGAGTGCAAATGGGCAATTGTTACCTTAATGTCTGATTTGACTATTAAAAATGACTTGTGTTGGCTTATCCAAATATTGACAGATTGGTATTAAATACTTTATCTCATGAAATATGTTTTTTTAGATTAGATTACCCGACTCTCTGATGCCATCATCAAATATACCTCAAATATTTTATTTTTAAAATATAAGGACTGTCTTTTGCTGAATTTGAACCAGACATTATTAAAATGTCATAAATAGAATTTCATATCGTCAAAAGGCTGGGTTGTTTTAACCCAATTTTGGGTCAAATATGGACAAACTCAAACATTGGGTTAAAAATGTCATTTAAAAATTTAACCCAATGACTGGGTTTATCCATATTTGACCCAAAATTGGGTTGAAACAACCCAGGGTTGACCCAAAATTTTAACCCAGCATTTTTTAGAGTGTAAAAAAACTTAAAAGACAACATTGCAATATTATCTGTTAACTAGATTTGAATAATTAATTTTCTTTAGAAGGCAAACTGCAACAGTCAATATTGAAATTCTGTAAATGTTTAACACTTATTTTCTCTCTCTTAAATTGGTGTGATGCAGTGTAGAAAGTGTTATTGCAGTTCTGAACATAATAGTCAAGTCATCTTTATTTATATAGCGCTTTATACAATGCACATAGTTTGAAAGCAGCTTTACAGTGATTTCTGCTGTTGTTCTGAGTGTAAAGATCATCAATTATTAGATTAGCTCATTAACGCATTAAAACATTGTCATCGTCCAGCTCAGTTCGGTTCTCACACAGCAGCGTCAGTACAGTCAGATATTAAGTGTGTAATATAGTTCTGCGTGTTCATGAGTGTTTCGTAAATGTCCTTTTCCCTCCTCAAGCCTTCGACACTCCCAAGCAAACTCCAGTGCAGGAGTCCGGCTTCAGCAAGACCTCCCCGAGTGCGTCCCGCAGCACAGACGACAGCCTGCTAGACCTGTGGGACAGCAGCCCGGCGGCAGCCTCGGCCCCGTCCCAGACCCCCGCCCACATCATGGACCTGATGGAGGACACCCCGGAGCCCCGTGTCCCCGGCTCCTCCCCTGCTCTCCCGCAGCCGCTCATGAGCTTCGATGAGGTACCCGACGCCCCCTACTGCACCGGCCCCGAAGATGACCCCTCCAGCCTGGTGGACGTGTCCGGACCCCACCAGATGACCCTGAGTTACCAGCAGGCCCTCCAGCACGCGTCCGGCTCCGGCAGCCAGGACATGGATGACGGACAGCTGCTGCTGACCAATGGAGACTCGCTGCTTAAAGAAGGGACCCAGGTCTGCCCATCGATCTCCTTTACTTATGCATGATGTCTATTCAGCCACTAGAGGGCAGCATATACTTTCTATATTTGACATTAAAGACACATATTCAGGACACTTTATATTTTATCATATGTTTGCATTTATGCAGGCGAGCGAAGGCTACTTCAGCCAATCACAGGAGGAGGATTTCGCCCAGTCAGAAGACTGCACTGCAAAAGTCAACCCAACACCAGTTTTTTATAACAAACCACCAGGTGAGATCACCGCAGATGATCTCTGAAATAATTTTTTTGAAATACTTTTAATGTTTTGTACGTTAATGTTTATATTAAGGAACAAAAAAAAATTAAAAAGTACATTGACACGGCACCGTAATGGTGTGTGTATATATATATGTGTGTGTGTGTGTGTGTGTGTATGTATGTATGGGCGTGTGTGTATATATACATATATATATATATATATATATATATATATATATACACACACACACACACACACATATAGTGTTTATATATATATATATATATATATATTAGTACATGAGGGGGCATTAATATTTTTGGTCAGTTTTTTTCTTTTTGCACACATTTGCATGTGTTTATTTCTATTTGCATGGGTGTTTTTCTATTTGCATGTATTTTTTTCTATTTGCATGTATTTTTTTTCTATTTGCACGTGTGTTTTTCTATTTGCATGTATTTTTTTCTATTTGCACGTGTGTTTTTCTATTTGCATGTATTTTTTTTCTATTTGCACGTGTGTTTTTCTATTTGCATGTGTTTTTTTCTATTTGCACGTGTGTTTTTCTATTTGCATGTATTTTTTTCTATTTGCACGTGTTTTTTTCTATTTGCATGTATTTTTTTCTATTTGCACGTGTTTTTTTCTATTTGCATGTATTTTTTTCTATTTGTACGTGTGTTTTTCTATTTGCATGTATTTTTTTCTATTTGCACGTGTGTTTTTCTATTTGCATGTATTTTTTTCTATTTGTACGTGTGTTTTTCTATTTGCATGTATTTTTTTCTATTTGCACGCGTGTTTTTCTATTTGCACGTATTTTTTTCCTATTTGCACGCGTTTTTTTCTATTTGCACGCATTTTTTTCTATTTGCACGCGTTTTTTCTATTTGCATGTATTTTTTTCTATTTGCACGTGTTTTTTTCTATTTGCACGTATTTTTTTCTATTTGTACGTGTGTTTTTCTATTTGCATGTATTTTTTTCTATTTGCACGTGTGTTTTTCTATTTGCACGTATTTTTTTCCTATTTGCACGCGTTTTTTTCTATTTGCACGCATTTTTTTCTATTTGCACGCATTTTTTTTCTATTTGCACGCGTTTTTTTCTATTTGCACGCATTTTTTTCTATTTGCACGCATTTTTTTCTATTTGCACGTTTTTTTTTCTATTTGCACGTTTTTTTTTCTATTTGCATGTATTTTTTTCTATTTGCACGTGTGTTTTTCTATTTGCATGTATTTTTTTTCTATTTGCACGTGTTTTTTACTATTTGCACTCGTTTTTTTCTATTTGCATGTTTTTTTTCTGTTTGCACGTGTTTTTTCTATTTGCATGTGTTTGCGTCAGTTGCAGCGTGTTGAGCTCTCTAAATAGTACATTACTAATTACATTAATACAATAATATTAATATTAATGGACATTAATATTTTTGGTCCGTTTTACCTAAAGAGAAAAACTGTACATTTTGCGTGTGTGGGGGGCTGTGCACAATGTTTCAGCAACACTAAATTTCTTAATTATCTGTCGTTACGATGCATCCCACCATAAAAAAAGATCCTAATAAAAGCTGTTTGTGTTGTTGTCTTTCTGCAGAAATCGACATCACGTGCTGGGATGCCGACCCCGTGATGGAAGACGATGATTAGGAGCGACCGAGGGAAACCGAAAACTGATTTTACAACAGTTACTGAAGTCTTGCATCAAAATGTTTTAGAGAAAAAAACAACAACAACGTTAGCCACAGAAGAAAAGGACTCGGGTTATTGTTAAAGATGCCAGTGGGTATGAGCGCTTTCGGTTGGTGTATGTGTGTGAGAGTGTGTTTATTATTTATTTCAATCTCTTTTTTTCTTTTGTTGCTATGCAGAGTATAGCACAGTGCGTCTCTAGCGCTCACCTGTGTTGTATGGATCCCTGTGCCTAACAGGTGTGTGTAGTAGCAGATTAGATCTCCTTAATCCACGCCGAGCTTACAGTAGGTCTGCTCAGCGCTTCTATCAACTTCCCCACAATCCTAGTTGCTTAGTCGAATCACATGTGTTTGAGTGTTATGCCCACATATGTCTTTGCTTTGACTCAGTCGGTCAGGGAGGCTCGAACCCTCACCCCTCGTCAAAGCAAAGGCACGTCACAACTCGATTTTAGCTTCAGTTGGGTCAGTCGTATTTAGCAAACGGAAAATGAAGGGGGTTTATATGTGATTATGAAACAATTTTGTGTTGTGCCAATTATTTTGAGTATGACGTGTTGGTGTAACGGCCTTTTAGGACTTTAGCGCCAGGTGGCATATGTATATTTTGACTACATATGAGATAATGTGTATAAACAATGGCTGAAACTGACGTTTGTTTGTTTTTTTATGAACAACTGCAATAGAGCTTTGATTTGTTGAGAAACTTAGGCAATAACAATTGTAGTGAACTCCTTTGGGAATTGTTTTAGTTATATATGCGGTAGTGTGTGTACATATACATCTAGTGTAAAGATAAAGGGAGAAGAGAGTCCCTTATTATTGGGGAGGTTCAGGCCTGAAAGATATCCTACAGAAGTGCGCAAGCCTCGTCCCAGATGTTAGCATGCGACATTACTGTGGCGTTACCAGACCTCAGTACTAAAGGATAGTTCAGACGAAAACTCATGTGACTTTTTCTTCTGTGGAGCATAAAAGAAGATATTTTGAGAAATCTCAGTGTTTTAATGTCCAAAGAGCCCCTTAGAGGACATGGAGGTGAAAACAAAATATATGATATGGGAGGAAAATGTTTTTTTGTGCACTCGCAGAACCTTTGCAAAATGTTTGGGTTCAGAGTTTCTTTGGGGGAACGCAAACATTATCGAGAGAATTTTTTCTCCCATCTCATATTCATGTCCTCGTAGGGTGTCCGTAAATAATAATATGATCTTTTGTGTTTGTTTTACAGAAGAAAGATGCAACTACAACATGCAGGATTGTTGGGTGTACTGTCCCTTTAAGAAGCCGAAATGATTGCTATAGGCCTATGTCACGAAAAAACTGAAGACCCTCTTTTAGTACGTCTTTTAGTAGGGATACGGCTCATCCGGTTAGCTTTTTCCAATGGTGGAGTCCGATAGATACCGCTGGACCAAATCTCTCCGCGACCCCCTGAAGTCACGTATGGCGATGTGGTTCGGATGGTAAATGAAAACTCTGAGGTATGGCTGTCTACGCAACAACCACCGCGGGTAGCTCTAGCCGTTCGCCAGTGAGGTAAACGTTTCTATGGTAACAGCGAGTTGGACCAATCAGCAGTCGTTGCTACTACGCTTAGGATTGTGGGTAGTGTAGTTTTTTTTCCATAAGATGTTTTTCTTTAAACAAGGTTGATTTCTTCGTAGCTTGTGCTCAGTCAACCTCGGAGGGTTTCGACATTAGGGCTGAGAATCGAAATATCGAGAAATACTATCAAAACAAGTTTACCAGGATTCAGAGTCTTACAGAGGATGAGTTATGCTAATGCTGGCTATAGCGCCCCTAGTGGCCGAACACATTTTAGCGAATGAAACGAAGCGTAGAGTATGGCCTTGACCTTATTTTATCGTGGATGTGATTTTGAACCTTTTATTTCTACTCTCCAAGGGAAGGAAACTCTTTATAATTACGCACTTCAAACCCCCCATTATTGAAATATAATATTAATATGACCCTTGTATTTTTTGCTTGTTAAAAATTCTTTATCGAGGAGTGATGTTAGGCATTTTTTTTAAGCTAATATAATTACAGCCCTTTAAATCAGATTTGTGACTGACTTTCACACAAGGACTAGTGCAGGGACACATGGCCTTGCTCAAGGGCAGAAAGGTGAGAGGTCATCTCACTAACTCAACACTGACTCGAACTGTAATCTTTGTTGTTCCAGCCCACATCCTTAACTTCCAAGTTATCACCACCCACTGTCTTCCTCATACTTTTAGTCATTTTGAAAAGCCACAACATCTTGGCTTTACGTCACAAATGATTTGTTGTTGTTGTTGTTGTTTTTTGGAGTGGAAAGGCGAGCAATAAGACTAAACCAATAGTATTGTTCTGTAAATAGCTTTAATTTTGTTCTCATGTAAAATGTACTACAATAACTAACATGTATTGATTAACCACTCATGAGAAGCGTGAGAGAGAAAACATGGTTTCTCAGTAGGAAGTAACCCGCATCTTTAACAGTAACTTGGCCCCTTTTGAAACGACGTCCGTGTATTCTTGTTCACCCTCCAACCTCCTTAGTAGTGATTATTATTCTCTTTCTCCCTCAAACTACTAGGAGACTACTACTACTACCGCCACTACTATTATTACTATTACTACTGCTGTTCTACTACAGTCATTTCTTCTTTGCCCCTGAAGCAAGGCTTAGCGACTCCTGAAAGTTCTTTTTTTTAATTATTTTTTTCTATCTCTTCCTCTTTTTTTCGTCCGCTTCTCACACGCTGTTTTTGAAACAAGCACAAGATCTTTTGTGACATGCTATGTGCTTATGTATGTTAATAAAAGACTTTAAAATCCTTCAGAAAACTTGTGTACTTCCACGTTTTTCTGTCTGCAGACCGACTGGACACAGAAATGTTTAAACAGTGTCCCTATAACTTAAGACTTTTTACTTCCCTTTAAAGCGAAACGATCGCTCATTTAATAAATAAATAACAAAGTTTAAGTTTTATAAGCTCAAATGCTCGCCTTGCTCTGTTCTGTGATGCGCGTTCGTGACTCTCCTGTTCGAACTCGTTCATCAAAATGAACGTATCTTTTCCCGAGTCAACTCGTTCATTTCGTTCGTTGAATGAACCAAATGACACGGAAAAAAGATTTGTTCATTTTGATCAAACGAGTTCGAACAGGAGAGTCACAAACGCGCATCACAGAACAGAGCAAGGCGAGCATTTGAGCTTATAAAACTTAAACTTTGTTATTTATTTATTAAATGAGTGATCGTTTCGCTTGATAAGACCCTTATTCATCGTCTGGAATCGTTTAAAGCCCTTTGAACAGTTTGCACTGAAACTGTCTTTTGGACCCCATTGAAGTCCATTATATGGAGAAAATCCTGGAATGTTTTCATCAAAAACCTTAATTTCTGGACATCTTGGATGACATGGGGGTGAGTAAATTATCAGCAAAAGTTTTTTTTTAAAGTGAACTACTCCTTTAAACACATACCTTGAGTTATTCAATTTTTTGTAAAAATGGTATAGGGTCGCTAACGACCCGAGGTGTGTAACAGTGTAAATATATTGTTCTGCACAACAATAATTGAATCTTTGATGACTGAATTAAGTACAATTTATTGCAAACCTTTCTGAAGCACAATGATGAAGTGACGTTGCACTCATAGTTACGCAGGCAGAAAACAAAAGAATAGAAAGCATCATCAGCAACTCTTGAAATGGCTCTGTGATTTACTGAACAAGTACTGAACGCAATCACTTGTCACTTGATGGTGGATCTGGTGAAGAAGCTGTGAGCGATCAAAATATTGATTTAGAAAACGATATACTTGTGCTCATGAATATGAGCCGATGCTGAATGTACTGGGAAATGAGCTTTGATGATGATGGTGATGATGGTGCTCAAACTGAACCCTTCCAAGCTCCAAAAGGTAACAAAATATGCTTTATTTTATTCTTCTGTAATAGTTGCTCTAATATCAGGAGAGTTCTTTACTGTTGCGGGAGCTGGAGATCCACCCGTGTTCGATACACACTGGAAAAATTAATGCGCTTTATTTAATCAAAAAAAAATTATGGCAACAGATTACAAGCAATATTATTAATTCAATTTAACAAAATAGAATTGAGTAATAATTAATCAAATTAAATCCTTAAAAGATAACCATTTAAAATGAGTAAAACTTTTATTGTTGTCACCATTATGGTGATCAGTGTTTGTTTTAGGTTTGCTTTAAAATTAAAGTTTTCTTTCTAAAGTTTCAAAAATATCTGTCTGATTTATTTTTTAGTGTAAACTTTAAGGAATAATTTGATTCATTATTACTCAATTCTAATTTGTTAAATTTAATTAATAATATTGCTTGCCACAATTTAATTAATTAGATAAAGCATATTCATTTTTTACAGCATAGAGGCGGATTGCTTAAGACCAAAATATGTAATAATGATTGGCGAAACATTCATGAATTTAAGGTTTAATCAAATATGTTAGACATTCCCTGGCCCTGTTTGTATATCGTCTATAGTATACTTTCAGAAACTAACCAAAAAATCCTGAAAGAAACATTGAAATATATAGCAGCTATGAATTAGTACAGCTCTGATTATTGTGTCCATAAGTACATGAACATTGCATGACACACTTTCACAGTTTGCCATTCACAGTTCAAGTGACAAGAAAAAGAAAATGTGCTATAGAAAATCTGGTGTGTGAAATGGGAACAAAATTGGGCCTAAATTGAGACTCTTGTCAGATCAAAAAGAGATTTACCCAACATAAACTCTTTTGATTGATGCACCAGAGCCTCTTGATGATGGCTTTCATCGAAAATGGCACAAACTGGGCACATTTGGTACATAATATGTCTCGTATACAGTATGCTAATTTGCAGTCCACTTATCATAGCGGATGTGAGAAGACTGTGTACCAGAGAGTGACGGCACTGCTCACTTCATCTATGCTAACAGATTCACACGGCTCTGCTACGGTCGCGTAGCAACAGAGAAGGTAGTTTACATCTCTGTCTTTAGCTTTGGTGGTGATGTAACTGAATATATAAAACAGAGAGGGATTGAGTATAGTCATTTTAAAAGTATACTCTCCCAAAAGAATAATCAAACCTTAATTTGGGGGCTGTAGTCAATGCCGTAACTTACTGTAGTTGTAGGTGCAGTAAATTTCATTGATTGTCTTTGTGCAATTTAGTATTTTGGTCTGTGCAGAATATATTTCCCCTAAATTGATCAATATTTGGCTATTTAAGGTTAGTTCTAGATGCATTCTTATTTTGATTTAAAAAAGAGAGTATGGCGTACTTTTTCCTCCTCAACCTTTTCAAAAGAATCCAGTTCCTTCATTCTGTCATTTATAGCTATAGCAAGAGATTTCCAACATTCAACATGGGCACCGTTTTATCTTTATAGGGATAAAAAAGTAATATTATATTCTTTATTTAATTTCTGCACAGGTTATGAGGGAACAATGCCTCATATACCAAGTCTTTATAATGTGGGTTGTGGGAAGTGTTTCCTTTATGCTTTTGTTATTTTCAGGCGCTCTGCGCAATTAAAACAAAAATGAAGCAAGACATCACTATGATGTAGCCTATAGTAAAAGCATTGTGTGCCCACTTACACTGCTAATTGCTTTTCACATTTCCAAAATAGAGCTTATTTCAGCACATGCATGAAAGCAGTGTTATATGCCGGGAAACTGATAAAGACAGCCATTAAATGGATTTGAGGTAGAATCGTTTAAGGGCACGGAAACACATAAGAGAAATGATGGCAGTGAAAGGAAAAAAATTAAATAAAGCATTTTCACAATGCAGCAATCACCACCTTGATTACGAAAGAATAGAAACAGCCTAGCAATAGGGATTCGGTTGCTCTTACTCAGAGAAGCACCATTAAATTAATGCGGTTTGTTTAAAAAATGCCGGAAATCCCACATGTTGCTGCAACAACAGAAGTGGGCAACATAGTGATGAACATGAAAATGAAAATGTTGACAAATCCCATTCACAGGTCATTACAAACAAGGTGCCATCATCAGTCTGAGGAGTACTTCAGGGGGATTGATTTAATATAGCATATATATATATATATATATATATATATATATATATATATATATTAAATCATTATTCATACAGAGATTCAGAATCTGTAAAAAAATTAAAAAATAAAGAGCGAGAATAGTACTGCTAACATGAAATTAAATGCAGTTTCCCAGTGAGACAACTTTCTCCAATGGAAACTACTAGGGGTGTAACGGTTCACAAAATTCACGGTTCGGTTCGATACGATACACTTGTGTCACGGTTCGATACGTTTTCGATACAGCAAAAGAAAGAAATGCCTGATAAATGTGATTGATATAAATTCTTATGTTTTTATTAAAACTAACATCAAAAAGTATTATATTTTTTTAATTTGAGCAATGATGGAGCTATACTTGACTTTTCTTAGGAGCTTATAAACAAAACCGCTCATTAGACAAAATAAAAAGTAATATTGTAGTAGTTATAATTATAAACAAAGGTTTATTTTAGTTCAGATTAACATCTGAGGGCAGCAATTGTATTCATAATGTCAAAATAAAACTGACGTGATGTTACTTGAAAGCATTATAGCCGACTGCCAAAACTTACCTAGTGTTATACAGTAAACCCATGGTGAATGAATGTTGCTGATCTGTGGACACTGGATAGTTCATTCATGGCACAATTCTTCCTGGTTTCAACGTCAGCGCGGTTTGACCGTTATTAACGGAGAAATGTGAATGTTTCTCACTAGATCTCGCAGCGATGTTATTACTTTAATGGCGAACTCAAATGTTTTCTTTACTGGATTTGGCTGTGTGTAACAGTGCTGCTTGATTCAGATCGGCTCGCGCTGCGTTGGTCCAAACTGATAAACGGTCCGTCAACCACACAATAACATTTGCCATTTGACGTTGGGCAGTGTTGTGATTACGTCAGCATCTATGAGCGCGCTTACCACGCGCGACGCGCCTAAATTTAAAACCTAACGAAATGTTGGTCGGCGGGAAAAACCGTTCGGTTTAAAAATGCGAACCGAACGGTTCAATACGAATACGTGTATCGTTACACCCCTAACAGACGTCTTTCAACAAATTGAAACTCCTCAATAACAACTTCCTTTGGAGGAAATATTTGAGATTACTTCGAAGCTTTTCCACCCCCAAAGTTCAGACTCCTTCCCGAGAAAGGAACCGGCACAGAATCCAGAAAGAGATCCCAGGTATTGTTTTCCAGTTTATGAAACAACATTTTGTACATCTGAGCAGCATTGTGTAGAATAGAGAGCAACCGCTGTCACTTCTGTGTTGTACCCTGTTTCACAAAGAGACAGGGTTTAAAATGTCATTTGTATTATATCAGTGAGCCGCAGATGAGAGAGGACGTGAGGGGCGAGGTGTTGGTGGGCTGCTGACAGTTCCTGGGAGCCATGGCAACAGCGCTCACGTAATAGCTTCTGCTCTGCATCAGCCGGAGAGCAAAGAGGACGAGAGTGATGGATCTGCAAACAAAGCTGATTCTGCCCCCAAAACGCCTCACACATGACTCAGGTCTATTTTTGTGGGCTCATACCGCTGTGCTTCGACCCAGAAGGGGAAAGGCGGTGGGCAAACCGTAGTGTTGATCCAGACTGCGGAGTCCCCTCAAGCCCAAGTCCGTGTGAGTCCGGCCCTCGCGAGGCATGGTGGCGATGGCAGAGGCCTGGGGCTCGACTGGCATGTTGTTGTGGTTGAGGTCCATGGTGGACAGGAGGTGCCCGAGCGAGTCCCAGCGTCTGGCCGAAGGTAGGCGTATGAGGGACGAGTAGCCACGTTCGGGAAACACGGTCACGGGGGCCATCTTGCTGGTCTCAGACTCTTGGTGCTCCCTGGAGGACCTGGTTGTAGGTTTGGTGTAAGTTCCTCCCCTTGGGTCCGACAGAACTTCACTGTAAGGTGGCGGCGGGTCCTCCATCAATACGGCCTCTTCGTAGCATGGAGGTTTTCCAAAGACATCTGTGTCTGCTGAGAAAAACCAAATGTTTCAGAAAGAATACCAAACACGCAAAGTTTTGGTTGCTTATAATCACTGTTGCCTCATGAGCCCAAGATATTGTGGGCCTTTCTTTTTCCAAGTCATCATTAAACATGCATAATCACACGATTTATCCGATATAAAAAGTTATCAGAGGACATTAGACAACATACAAGTAATGAGGGCTTGGTATATTCTATCAGGGGAGGGAAGAACTAAAGCTTTGTACGTCATCTCTCACTCTAAGATGAAAGCTAGCCTAGGATATATGTTCTTTGTGAAAAGAAGTGATAACCAGCATTTGGAGGTCAGAGATAAGACTGTTTGCCTGTGACTAGGCAGTGTTTTCCCCCTATCATTTGTGCTTTTACTAGAATGGAAGATGAAAGCTACACCCGGAAAAAGTCTTGCAGTGCGAAGAGGCAGCACTTCTTAATTATCATGTGTTCTGATATAGGATTGCAGCAAACGGAGGCAGTGCTTCTTAAACTGCACTTTTAACCCAAATTGTTGAGAAAACCAATTTTTTTTCATTTTCTCAAGACAATGTGAGTGGTGCTTGCCCATCCAATGAGTGGTTGCAAGGGAATTGCTATATCACTCTCTGAAAAAAAAGTACAAAAACTGTCACTGCGGGCTGTAACCTTTTCAAAAGGTACACTTTTGTACCTTAATGGTACATATTAGCACTTAAACTGTACATATTAGCACCTAGAATATATATATATATTAACATCTAAAATGTACATTTTAACACCTAAAATGTACATTTTAACACCTAACATGTACATATCAACATATAAAATGTACATATTAGCACCTAACATGTACATATTAACACCTAAAATGTACATTTTAGCACCTAACATGTACATATCAACATATAAAATGTACATATTAGCACATAAAATGTACATATTAGCACCTACAATGTACATATTAGCACCTAACATGTACATATTAACACATAAAATGTGCATATTAACACCTGAAATGTACATATTAGCACATAAAATTTACATATTAGCACCTACAATGTACATATTAGGACCTAAAATGGACATTTTAGCACCTAGAATGTATTAACACCTCAAATGGACATATTAACCCAAAATTATGTCATTATTTACTCACGAATAACAAAAATGGTGTGCACATCCCACACCCAAATTGGGCTCAGGTGCAGGACAACTAAGTGATATAAACAAGGAAAATTGTGTGTGCCCAATTAAGGTGATCACCTGTGTCTATTTAAAGTTGATATTGTGCCTGATGAAGACCTGAGGGTTGAAACGTTGCCTTTTAATAAATGATTTTGGAGCTGTAATTTTCAGATGTTGGAGGGATGCAGATAAACTGTCAACAAACAGAGGTAAGTCTGCTGTTTATACACTTCTTATGGTATTAATTATGTCACTGAACTGAACGTGCTCCTCTTGAACTTTGTTAATGAAACATCATGCATTGTTGTGGTCTTGTGAATGCACATTGGAGATTAATATTTTCCAAATAAAGTGGTGAATTGTTGTTCTTTTGTGCAAAAAGAATTCATAAAATTGAGGTTAAACCACTTGGGTCCCATAGATTACTTTTATGTCTTTACCTTTCTACACTCTCAGAAAAAAAGGTACAAAAGCTGTCACTGGGGCTGTACCTTTTCAAAAGGTAAACTTTTGTCAATTTTAGGTGCTAATATGTACATTTGAGGTGCTAATATGTACATTTTATGTGATAATATGTACATTTTAGGTGCTAATATGTACATTTTAGGTGCTAATATGTCCATTTCATGAGCTAATATGTCTATTTTAGGTATTGATATGTACATTTTAGGTGCTAATATGTACATTTTAGGTGTTAATATGTACGTTTTAAGTGATAATACAAACATTTTAGGTGCTAATATGTACATTTCAGGTGCTTATATGTACCACTAAGGTACCAATATGTAGCCTTTGGATACAAAAGTGTACCTTTTGAAAAGGTACAGCCCCAGTGACAGCTTTTGTACCTTTTTTTCTGAGAGTGCCTATAGGGGTTGAAAGTGGTAGCTGTGTCGCTGTCAATGGAGGGACAGAAAGGTCTCAGATTTCATTAGAAATGATACAATTTTAATAGTTGTGTATTGAATTGCAGCCTTGGGTCTCAATCAAATTCTGATACCTAGATATGGCCATCCATCTATTCATTCTTCAAACAGCTTGTCCTGTAGGGTCGCAAGTACTGTAGATATGGGCTTGCCGAATGATTTTAAATAACATTCATGTCTATGTATTTGAAGAAATAGTTGTTTGTCTTAGCAAGCACCATTAAATAGTTCATAGGTCAATTCCAGACACCCTATAGTTTCAGGTCTGCTCACAACATCATCTAAAACTGTATTTTTCTTCAATTCATCTAGCAGAATTTAGTACATTTAGTCATTTGATTGTGACTCTATCTTGAAACTTGTACTTCTCATTAAATACAAAGTTTACTTAAGTTTACTCAAAGACCGTTTTCTCATTTGATGCTCAATGTGTCACAGGGGACATGATGAGTCTGTTGTTGTAAAGTGATACAAAAAGTCCCTTTAAAGAGCAGAATTCTTTCCGACTCTTACTCTTTCGTGAGCTGACTTATTACTCAGGCCCTGTTTGAATGTGTGGTCATCCATCCTGTGTGTTTGGCACAGGTTTAAAGGGACATTCTTTGCCCATGGCTGGGGATCCACCATCTTTGGCAGCCAAAGCACATGATTAGCCCAGCTCTAGCTCAGTACTGTACTCGTCTGCCTACACAACACCCACTCAAGACTCACTGTTACCATGTCATACATGAAAGAATGCAGCTCGGGCTGCCAACACTGTGTGAGGAGTCAAGGTTTTCAGTTGTACTGCCCTTGGGAGATGGACGATCTTTGTTGATTGGTAAACAGTGTTAAAGAACGGCATGCTTCATGTTTTAATAAAAGGTAGTAGCGTCCTCTGCTCGGTTATTGGATTATGCAGATTGCTATTTGAAAGATGATAATTCACGACAATGATTTCATGTCTGTTCAGGTGCTGTTTATGCTAGTGCTGGTCTATAATCATGCTGTTCTCACTCCGGCTTCCCATTCTGGTTTGTGTACTTGAGACTAGAGTTGTGACGTTCGCGAACGAACCGGTTCTTTTGAACGGCTCATAAACATGAACGATGGGAGCCGAGTCGCGGCTGTAGGGGAGCCGTTCTTTCTGTCGTTCTTTTTTTCCTATGCGTGTTTTACACAGATGCACACAAATTAGCTCCTCGGTTAAAGTAGAAGGGGCGCATCCAGCGCAGGGGTGATAGTTGTGCACGCGCGTGCATCTTTTACGTTATCTTTTATAACCCTACGTGCCTGTCATTTGGTAGGAGCGGAGCCAAAACTTGTGCACGCTGCCATCACATGGTTACTCCAGTTAAAAAAAGCCATAAAGTAAGGAACTGCTTGTATTTATTTACATTGCATTTTGTGTTCATGTTCATGTTATTGTATCTACATTATTTACAACTTTAAATATTTTTCTTGTTTTTTATCAAAATGTTCTTGTGGTATTGTATGAATAACACAAGTCAACAGCTTTACACATATTACACACACTTTGTACTAAAGGTAAAGCCAAAATAGTGATGTCACTTTCTAAGCAGAGGGATGTTGCGCAACCAATATAGTCCACACATGACAAATTGGGTAATATAATCAATATTTCAGAATAATTCAAACTCAGATATTGATGTGTGATATCTGAGTTTGAATTATTTGACTACAAATCTCACCTCATCATTCCTCCCAATGATTATACTAAATATTTAAAAAGAGCCATTCTTTTGAACGGCTCTTTGAAAGGAACGGATCGCCAAGATCCGGATCCCCTCAAAGAGCCATAAATCCCATCACTACTTGAGACGCGGTCGCGAGGCCATATTTTAATGGTCTCGGTCTTGTCATGGACTCGTGTGCATTTTGACTCGTACTCGAACATATTAGGACTCGGACTTATTCCCAAGTCCACTCGAGTCCCATTCAAAATGTCATGATTATTACTGTATGTTAATTGTTGTTTGATTGAAACGTCCAATGATTGCTGGCTTTCTTGTGCACAACTGCGCATGACTTGAGAGACCATAACGTTGGCGGCGTGCAAATGCAGCAGGACCCAGGTCCGATGTGATGTGGAGTCTCTAGCTCAACTATGTATTGAAAATGTCTGCCTTATCATTCATAATTCAGTTTGCATGTAAGAGCCACACAGAATTCGTGTGCAGTAATGTGATGTGAAAGAGCACTTACTGATTGTCATAATTGTAATAAAATGACCTTTACACCACTATGTGGCCTTTTTACCATTACAGTGTAAATGATTCCATGTTATATTTGGTTTACTGTTTGAGTGGTGCCTATTTTATTGTTGCCACCAAATATTTTACATATTCTTGAAGATATCTTTAAGTCTGGTTTCAGACCCAACCTTAGGTTATCCAACCTCTCTGGTCTCGACTCTGACTCGACTCTCTTTGGTCTCGACTCAGACTCAACTCTCTATGGTCTCGATCTCAACTTGGACTCGACTCTCTATGGTCTTGATTTGGACTCGACTCTGCTATGGTCTCGACTCGGACTCGACTCTCTATGGTCTCGATCTCAACTTGGACTCGACTCTCTATGGTCTCGATTTGGACTCGACTCTGCTATGGTCTCGACTCGGACTCGACTCTCTATGGTCTCGGTCTAGACTCGGACTCGACTCTTTAGTCTCAGTCTAGACTCGGACTCGACTCTCTTTGGTCTCGACTTGGACTCGACTCTCTTTGGTCTCGGACTTGACTGTCTTTGGTCTCGACTCGGACTCGACTCTTTGGTCTTAGTCTCGACTTGGACTCGACTCTCTTTGGTCTCGACTCGGACTCGACTCTCTTTGGTCTTAGTCTCGACTTGGACTCGACTCTTTGGTCTTAGTCTCGACTTGGACTCGACTCTTTGGTCTTGATTCGGACTCGACTCTCTATGGTCTTAGTCTCGACTTGGACTCGACTCTCTTTGGTCTCGACTCGGACTCGACTCTCTTTGGTCTCGGACTTGACTGTCTTTGGTCTCAACTCGGACTCGACTCTTTGGTCTTAGTCTCGACTTGGACTCGACTCTCTTTGGTCTCGACTTGGACTCGACTCTCTTTGGTCTCGACTCGGACTCGACTCTCTTTGGTCTTAGTCTCGACTTGGACTCGACTCTTTGGTCTTAGTCTCGACTTGGACTCGACTCTTTGGTCTTGATTCGGACTCGACTCTCTATGGTCTTAGTCTCGACTTGGACTCGACTCTCTTTGGTCTCGACTCGGACTCGACTCTCTTTGGTCTCGACTCTTTGGTCTTGACTCGGACTCGACTCTCTTTTGTCTCAGACTCGACTCTCTATGGTCTCGATTCGGACTCGACTCTGCTATGGTCTCGATTCGGACTCGACTCTCTATGGTCTCAATTTGGACTCGACTCTGCTATGGTCTCGGTCTAGACTCGGACTCGACTCTTTGGTCTCAGTCTAGACTCGGACTCGACTCTCTTTGGTCTCGACTTGGACTCGACTCTCTTTGGTCTCGGACTTGACTGTCTTTGGTCTCGACTCGGACTCGACTCTTTGGTCTTGATTCGGACTCGACTCTCTATGGTCTTAGTCTCGACTTGGACTCGACTCTCTTTGGTCTCGACTCGGACTCGACTCTCTTTGGTCTCGGACTTGACTGTCTTTGGTCTCAACTCGGACTCGACTCTTTGGTCTTGACTCGGACTCGACTCTCTTTTGTCTCAGACTCGACTCTCTATGGTCTCGATTCGGACTCGACTCTGCTATGGTCTCGATTCGGACTCGACTCTCTATGGTCTCGGTCTAGACTCGGACTCGACTCTTTGGTCTCAGTCTAGACTCGGACTCGACTCTCTTTGGTCTCGGGCTTGACTCTCTTTGGTCTCAACTCGAACTCGACTCTTTGGTCTCGGTCTCGACTTGGACTCGACTCTCTTTGGTCTCGGACTTGACTGTCTTTGGTCTCGACTCGGACTCGACTCTCTTTTGTCTCAGACTCGACTCTCTATGGTCTCAGTCTCGACTCAGACTCGACTCTCTTTGGTCTCGAATCGGACTCGACTCTCTATGGTCTACGTCTCGACTCGGATTCGACTCTCTTTGGTCTCAGTCTCGACTCGGACTCGAGTCTATATTCTCATACATAGATGAATAACTAAGAGATATGAAACTTTAGAAGGAAAGGGTGAAAGAACGATTTGAAAATTGACCAAAGTCACATTCAATTAAATGAAGTGGTATTTGCAACTAACCAACTAACCTAACCCTAACCCAGCTAAGAGAAAGACATTTCGAAACATTTATTCATTTCAAAGGTCTAGTTTTTGAGTTTAATTTTGCTTATATTCTGCTAAGAGTTGTTAAAAGACATGGTCATGCGGCTCTTTGTAAAGAAACGTTTTTCTTCCGAACATGTGGGTGGATGACCGTAGAAGCTTCAAGATAGTCCCCATAGCCCAGCTTGCAAACAAAACTGCATTTGACGATTGAGCTTGTGTGAACGTCCTACCTTCAGAGACCGTCCAGTTTGCTTGAGGGAGAGTGTGTGTAACAGGCAGCGGCGGAGACATCATTTGAAGTGGAGGGCAGAACTGAGGGGGTTCTCTCGGAGGGTATCCTCCCCCGGTGCAGTCCAGAGGCTCCATCTCCAGCGCCCGCAGGCACTGTTCCCTCAGTCTCTCTTCACGCCGCCGCTTCAGCTTGCGCTGAGCGAAGCTGCAAAAGCAGCAAAGCATGACAATGAGAGCCCAGATCAGCCAGAAGCCGGCAAAGCATGCCAAAAACGTATAGGTCCCCTGCGACATCACCATGATGATCCCCTTGATATAGTTTGTGCCCTCCAGGATCCAGTAAGAAGAGTTAAAGTCTTGAGTCGTAGAGTTCACGCACCAAGTCTCAAAGCACACAAACAGACCATAGCTATCAGATTTCTATGAATCCTGTTGTTCAAAACCATCAGGAGTCAATCCAAGTGTTTGCTGAGCTCATTGTTTTTAAAGTGACCTGATTTCACTCGAAGCACATTCCACGAAAACGCAAGATATATTGCAAAAGAGAAACTGTAGGGGCACGTTCCGAAAGGCCCTTCCACAAGAAGAAATGAATATCTGCAGATGCTCTTTTCCTGACAGCTGGTGCTATGAGGGAATGCTAACGTCTCGCAGTGCCTGGGTCTCCTCCTGTGTTGTGATCCTCCGCTGAGCAGATCAGGGCTCTTTAGATCTCCAGAGGACACCAGCAGTCACGCTGCTCAACAAAGGGAAAGAACATAGAAGGGGGCAGCCGTCATAAGTTATGAACTTGTCATATTTTCAAAACACAGACCCTTAATATTTTACACACAATGGCCCGTTTCCTAATTAACCTCAGCTGTTCAAGCACAACTCGCACAATGACTTTAGGGGGTAAGTATCGATTTCATACATCGAGAGAGTGGTAGTACACATAGTTTTCCAGAGAGATTGTCAACAAAGTAAGTTTTCATTCACTAATGTATTTTGAACATTAATGATAGCTTTCAACATGTCAATGACGGCTCTCGACTGCCGACAAATAAACATGCCATTTTTATGACAACTTATGTAACCAGCTCTGAGGCGATCTAGAAAAAGCTTTATTTCCTGCACACATTCACATCTCTATCCGAGATCTTGTTGACCTTGAGAAAGCAGAATAATTCTTTGTCCTGTGTCGTTATCACTGATGTTCCCATCTTTACTCGCACTGCCTTAAAAACGAATTCAGCTATGTCATCTTTTGGAGGACATGACCTATAGATTACCTGCTTTACACTGGGGACAATTACATGTGAATATTGGTCAATAAATGACTTATTTAACATGCATTGATAGTCATTCAGTTTATAGGAATGGTCAGAGAACTCTTATTAAAAACACTGGCTTTGATTAAATGAATGAGAAGGAAGCTGTCATCACCTCTTACTTAACTGAGGAAGAACTATGACTTTGCCTAACCTCAATGATGCCCCCCTTTTAACAAATTGTCATTGATATAAAGCATGTATGTAAAAATATATTAAAAATAACACCAAGAAACATTTTTAATAATAAAATAAGGGCTGTGTGTTTTTTTTTTTTTTTTTTTTTTAAAACAACAGTTTTCAGTGTTTGGTAAGCTAATATGTCCATATATAATCATCACAATAAATGAATTAATCCATAAATTAACGATCGTTTAATATAGCATAGTTTGTGGATAAACATGCGCAATTGGTAATGACAGATGAACACCACATTTTATGTTACAAAGAGTAAACTATAACATTCAAGGACTTGAAAATCTTCACGTGTGAACCCCTGTATTTATTAGGCGTCATTTTATACCACCGTGTGTTCGTAATTTACAAATAGAAACAAATATGCTGCTCTCGTACTTACATACTCGTCTTCCCTGTGTTCCAGACGCGTGACACCGCTTCAATGGTCGGGACGTGACTCAATCCATGTAAAGTTGCTGTAGTTGTCCGTGGCACATGTTAGCAGACTTGTTACATGCGTGTGTTTTTGGGGGTCTTCACTAATGTTTACCTGGATAAACAGAAAGCGTTTCGTGTTCCGCGTCAGTCCTCAGTCGTGATGCGCGCGCTGGTTAATGGACACCTGTAATTGACGCGCGCGTGTCGTGAAACACCCACATTGGCACTCCGAGAGATGCTTTCACGAGGACTCTGGATATCAAATTGAGAATAACGGTTCTCTAAACAATCTGACATGGTCGCTCCTCCTTTTTAACTGTTTGTTGAACAAAGAGACTGAAGTGGCACGAATGGGATTTTTTTTGTTGTGTCTGGATCGGTCATGTTTATGATGTGGTTGTGAGAATGAAGTCTAAACGTCACTACTTCAGTAATGATAACAATAATCTCTTCGGTTTGTTTCACAAACGCATCTCACTGGATGGAAAGGTCCGTTGATATGACTAGCCTATTAAAGATGCACTCAATTATTTTACACATTAAAAAAAAAAGTTTCACGTAACCGAATCAAAAGCACCCGTGAGAAATACAACTAAAATGATAAGTACGCTCACATAAAATGAAGACGCCATGTATAATTCGATTAAGAATGTTAATGGATGGCAATATTATTCCTCGTGTTGATTGGTTGACAACATGTTGCTTCTGAACTATGTTAAATAAAATTGCTTACGAATATGTTTCTTGCTTACGAATTCTGTATCTGTACAGCACTTTGGGGCAGTAGTGGGTGTTTGTAAACGTGCTATATAAATAAACTTGACCTTGACCTTGACCTTGAATATAACAGAACATGCTCAAGGACCTCTGTATTGGAGAGAACATGGTCGAGAACATTTTGATAAAACACACGCTCAAGAACATTTTGTGTAGATTGCAGTGGCCTTGGTTCCATAAATACGCTATTTTTCACATTTATAAGCCATGGACCAAACCAACCATCTCAGATGTGAAGAACAATATTACAAACGTTTATAGAAGTAATATATAGTCATTCACAGTGCATATGCAGGAGTGTGTGCGGTCACTGTAGAGCTCATTTGGCATGATTCTAGGATTAGTGATGGTCTGTATATAGTTACTAGCACTGTTTTTTGTTTTGCACTGTAACATGATTTTTAAAATCCATCAAGCATTTATGGTGTTTTTAATTTGCTTTAAAGGTGCAGTGTGTAGATTTTAGCGGCATCTGCAAGGGCTCAGCCCTCCCTTTCGAAGAAGCTACGGTGGCTCAAAGGGACAAACATCTCGTCATCTGAGACCGCAGGGAATAGCCAGAGTAAGGCAAGAGTGTGTAACATTGTCACTGTTTCTGTACCACAGTCCATTATAAACCACATCATGGATAAAGTTTACAAAGCCATAGTAAGGTGAGGATCAAAATATATAATATGATAATAGTAATCAGCTGATTGTCTCACAAACGTAACCAGCACATTTATTCCCACATAGCAAACCCATGATACAGCGAGGGAGAAGAACCACATGAAACTATGCAACTATATTTTTTTCTAACAAGGTAGTAAAAGTTTAGCTGGCTAATATGAGCGGTCACTGTGTCTGAGCTGGTTAAAGCCTTTTTTACCTTTTAAAATTTTCACTTCTTGAACCCAACAGTGTACTCTAGGAAACATCGGCAAGAGCACTTAGAATTGAAGACTGTTTTTCAGAACATGGTGCATTTAACAGAACATGCTCAGGAGATTTTTTTCCATAGCATAAAAGATGCTCAAGAATACTAGAACAGAAATTCCATATAACATAAGAGTTTTGCATAAGACCTTCTCTTGTTGAATGTATTTATTAAGTGTTCAGGATAGCAGAATGGAACTGATTTGTATACCTCCTCTTTTAATCTGTGCTACAGTGTTGGACATAAGGGAAAAGAGCATTGCTATGACAACTTGCATGAACACTGCACCAGATTCACAGAGACTATAAAGTCTGAGGTTGCCATATTGCTACCATTATTATGATGCAGTGCTTCACCATACAGTGTAGCCGTGGGCTTTCACTCTTCATCATAGACAAGTTAATAGGATAGGACAGACAATGGGATACGCCATTATTAGCATGCACAAAAAAATGCAACAGTATTTGATTGGCAGTGTGTTATACGTCAGAGTAATGCTTGTGGTAATTTTAGACGTATCCACGCACACCTCAGACTTTAAATAATTCTATTGCTGGACGCATCACAGTACTTTAGACTCCATCAATGTCTGTGTTCATTTTTGAAAGCCCTGGGCAAAAATTTCTTGAAGCGTTCTTTGTTTTTCATGCTGAACAATATTCTCTCTCCTTGCTGGCCCTGTGGATGAATAAAATACATCAGAGAGTGTGCTTTTGCCTTTTATTTCACACGAAAGAATGGACACATTATACTGAAATTAATGAATAGCACCATTTCATACCCACGTCTGTCTGTCTGTCTGTCTGTAGGCAGTCCAGAAATATCAACCTTGATCTATTATGAGACCATTTAGTTCCTTTAGAAAGCAGGAACATTTCCATACCTTCACAATCGGTCCCATACATTTCTTCATCTTTACATTACACATTTTATTGTATTTTTTGCGGTAACTTACTTCTCCAGACGTTACGCCGGAAGTGATCTCACGCGCGTCTACATCACGCATTGTTTACACGGAGATTGCGGTAGTTTTACCCTTCACTAAACATATTTAGATATATCGAAATCGTCTTCCATTGCGATTTCCCGTATATCTAAATATGTTTAGTGAAGGGTAAAAATTCCGAAATCTCAGTGTAAACAATGTAGACGCGCGAAAGAGATCACTTCCGGCGTAATGTCTGGAGACGGTTCGGTTGACTGGACATCTGATCAGTTCGACGGCTAGTAACAAGAGTAAACTATATAAATACTGTTTGTTTTGTTTTATTTATTTTCTCTTAGGCCATCTATGTGTACTTACATTTACGAGTCATTAAATCATGTTTAATTTGGACTTCTCTGTGCATCTTTGAGGTGGACCCCCTAAAACTGACTGACAGACAACACCGGTTTGACCGAAAAATGTCAAAATTGAAAATACTGTGGAAAAAAAAGAGACACCTACATCTTGGATGCCCTTCAGGTAAGATAAAACATCAAAAATTAATTTCAAATTGAACTATCCTTGGTTTGATAAAACTATACTATATTTGGTCTTGGCAGATTGCCTGGTCTACACTAAAAAAAACTTCAACTAAAACTTAATGTGGTAACATGCCACTTTCAAACCAAAAATGTATATTTTAGATTACAGATTTCTAGAATTCAGCACTAAACATTTTCAAAGTAAAAAATTCCATACCAATGAGTGCATCAAATATGGTTAATGGAAGCTCAAACATGCATGAGAACCAATGAGGATTATTGTCATGCATCAAGAAAGCTCATCTTAGGTTTAATTTACCATATTTGATGCACTCCATCATGTATTAACAAACTATTATATATCAATTAAACTAAATTAAAATGGGTTCTTCAGTGTTGTGTTCAGTTTTTTTTTTTTTTTGTTTTAATGGAGATTTAGTTTGTTTAATTTTCTAGCAACTCCTTTGTTACCATGGTCATGTCATTATGAGTTAATTTGTTTCAGTGGTGTATCATTAATTACCATTAATTGTGTCAGTAATCCTTTTACTGTTTATTGTCCGGACATCATGACTTTTGCGTAAATACATGCCACTTACAAATCAAGTGGCATGTTATCTATACGCGTTTTGAGCTATCCCTACGCCTTTAAATGTCAGAGTGAAACGAAGCAAAATGTAGATCTACATCTGGGCAGCGATATATATATTTTTTTTCCTAGGATGGTAGGGGAAGACTCATATGCTATTAACCCCAGTGACGGTTAGGTTTAGGGACGGAGTTGGGGTAGGTCATATATTTATAAATACAGTAACGTTAAGTCAACGGCGTTCATATGAACGCTGAAAAGCGATTATTATGCGTGTTGATAGCACGCCAAAAATGGAAATACGAATTGCAGTGTCATGCCATTTCTCTTACATTAAGGTACTGTTTAAACGACGCCACTTTAAACTAAATACGTAAAACTTTTTTTAATGCATTTTGGCCATTCATTTACACGACAGCGGTGCCTGAAAACGCAAACTTTAAAAAAAGTTTTTGTAACCGGTCATGTAAACAACAAAAACGCATGAAGCTCTAAAGACGATGACATCATGCACATGTATATTACGTGTTTCGTCGCCATCTAATCTGACTGCGTTTTTAGTCGTTAACACGGATCGCTTGTCGTATAACAGGGTTCTAATTGTATATTTACTCTATATGGTTGAATACATACGCATACAGGATTTGCATATTACATATTTTAACATAAAAAAGCTTCATGGAAAAACATTTTATACTGTCGTCTTGGGAGAGGAACCTCATATTATTTACTCACCAGGGCTTTCAGCCAACTTCGAGCCAATGTCCTGCATCATCCCTCAGAAGAAAGGCAATGTCATTCATTCTGAACGGGGCGAATGACTCAGGAAAAATATGACACCGTGTTCTCGATGGAGGCAAAAGGTCACTCTTTTTGTGATTGGCTGACCTCCTTCTGCCTCTGTGGTGTGCCCTCGATGACAGGAACTGACCCACAGACATATGACGGACTTGTGTTCGACACAATCTGGCCTGCTTAGCAATACAGATGCAATCAGTGACACTCAAACACTTGAGACAATGAGAGTCATTGTCCGATGAGCAATAGCGAAACTTTGACGTCACAGAGACGTTTTTCTCTCTAAACTTTGGCAATATCCACTGAAGTTTTGTATTAGAGTAGTCTGGAGATCAGAATGAAACTTAAGCATAATATATGACAGGAGAGTGTCTTCTTCACAGTGGTAAATATTTAGACTACTGGCTTAACCTTGATTTCTTGGGGGACAAAATGTTTTAATGGGTCCTAGGAAGAAGCCCATTATTAACTTATGTTAATGATTGTAAAGTACTTCAACATTGTCCATTAGTAGATGCATGATTAAGTTGGTCTATAATTTACAAAGGTGACAATTACAATGTCTGACACCATTTTCTCTAGTTCTTCATTAATTTGACCAACCCAACAGTCTCATCTAAGCTGAGAAACATTTTTCATGATTTAATTATTTATTTTTTCAGTGTATGTAAATCAAAATATACCAGAAAATGATACAGTAATGAAAAAAGTGGCCAAATTACGCTAAAGTTCAAAAGTTTGGGTAAGATGTTTTTAAAGGTCTCTTAATGCTTGATCAAATACATTTAGCATATCATATGTAACCAATACTGGTGGTTACGATGTATGTTTTTTTGTCCTGTGATGGGAACATGAATTTACTTTGATGAATAGAAAGTTCAAAAGCACAACATTTATTTGAAATAGTTGTCTGTTATAAAATTATATAAATGTTTTATTGTCACTTCTG